CATTTATTGTTGAAATCAAATATATTTGTACCAGCACTTTATTTCGTCAGGTTTTGAGGCAGACAGTGTGTTTCAGGTAGTATTCAGTCTGTGTCTGGTGGTTTGGTCATTGGCAGTCACCCATTGATCATTTTACATTGGGCCAAATCACAAACTCGTTGTGCAGTAGTCAATGTTAACGACTTTTCTAGAGGTCTATTCAAACAAACAAGTAATTCTCCATAATAGTCCATGTGAAATTGAACTAATTTGACTGATAAAGTCAAAGTTGAGCTGATGTAGTCACATTGGATGTGACATTTTGAAAAGGAATACATGTGTCCTTATCTACCTTGGCCATTTTAGTACTACCACCACTTCTATTTCTTAGTAACTTCAATCTTTGTTAGCCTAGATGTCCGTCCCGTGGTGGCCTAGTGGTTCCCATCTTGGGTGGCTGTCAGGTCACTTTTTCACAGACTGACCCCTCTGTGAATATTTTTTTCTGGGCTTTAATTCATGTGTTTGTTCACAAGTAAGAAAGATTATTCAAGGGGAAAAAACAACATGAAATGATTGTAATATTTGTAAATGATCTTGCTGTAATGTGTAAAATGTGTCCAAGTTATTTTTTATTATATTATTTTTATGAAAGTTTTTCCTCTCAACAGAGCTGAGGTGTCATTTTGTGAATAAATGCATTTAATAAGCAAACATCTATATATAAAACAATATTATAGTATATCAGTATATTTTTCTTTTATTTCACTGTTCGGTACTGTAAAGTGTGTTAAAAATACAAATAAAGTAAGATTTTTATATTAAATGCAATACAATTGTCACTATTATTACAGTTTCATATGCTAGTATACTGATTGGTGGTTTGTTAGCAAATTTAGTCCGCATAAGAAACAACAGGATAGAAAAACAGATACTGAAAAAAGATACAAGATATGGTACAAACACATAGTCAATCAACATCCACATAGTGCAATAATATATGAAAAAATTGAAATATAAACCCAAAGAGTGTTCAAATAATATTTAGTAATGTAAATAAATGTTGTATGTAAAGTGATATTGTATTGTTCCAGACTATTTGAGCTTAATCTTATTTTTAATTGTAGCATGTTTGTAGAGACTGTATTATCCTATTAACTAGATATTGCAGGCAACGTCCTTTAGTTGTTGTATACATTTGACCTTTTATAGGATACAATTAAATGATAGTGCCCTAATTTTCCCACTTTATCGATATTAACGTGTAGTTTGTACGATGCCTGAATGAAACATGGTCTAATGATAAACAGTGTAAAGAGTGATGACTACCTGCACCTGTCTCTCTGCCATGAGATGGCTGAATCCTCCCCAGAATCCTCTTCTTTAGGCGGCTGCCACGGCTCTCAGCCAATCACAGGGGCTAAACAAAGCGTCGACCAATCACACAGCAGGGCGGAGTTGTACGCATGCGCTTTGACAACACGGAACTAAGCGGTGCATTGACCGGTAATGATTAGCTATTAGCTTGTTTTAAGCAATTCTTTTAAACGTTTTCTTTGTGTCTACCAACAGTATTTACCGTGTACGCTTAAGGTATTATTATGTTATTATAAATGGTTACGCACTCCTGGTATTTCTATTTATTTACGTGTTATTTTAGAGGTTGCTTTTAGTTAAATTGGCTAGTTCGAGTTACTGTGTTAGCTAACAAGAAGTCGTTGTCGAAACCAGAACAAGCGAAGATACTTGATGGATTTTAGTTCTTATAACATTATCGTTCTTGTCCCGGTATGTTTATTGTTTTAACATGGTGGTTCCTGTATTAATCTACACAGTTTGTGTCATAGAGGCGGTTTGGGTGCAGCTGAATATTCCTAAATACTGATCCATTGCGGAGATGACGTCCTGTCAGACTCAGTACCTGCTAATGCTGCTGCTGAGTGTGGGAGTCTCAGCGGTGGAAGTCCAACGACCTCGGGGTGTCCCTTTGTCAAGTAAGCATTCATAATAACAACTAGTAATGACATACGAGTACAGTACAGCAGTGGTGAAGCGTTACTAAGTAGATTTACTCAAGTAAGATTTTTAGGTACTAGTACTTTACGTGAGTATTTCAATGTGTTGCTACTTTGTCTTTCTACTCCATTACAAATCAGAAGGAAATCATGTACTTTACTCCACTATATTTCTTTGATACCTTTAGTTACTTCTACCCTGCAGCATGCAAAGTAACACAAATTGGTTGCTCCTTTACCAGATTGTATTAATTGATGTCAATTTGCATAATGAGTGCTTTTACTTTTGGTACTTTAAGTATATCTGGATGCTAATAATGTTTTACTTTTACTTGATCAACATTTGCAATGCAATACTTTGACTTGTAACACTGTATTCATACACTCAGGTAAAAATATCTAAGTACTTCTTCCACCTCTGGAGTATAGTTGTATACTTTGCACTCGGGATAGAGTTCAAAATAAGTTCCTTAGTTTTGGATCTGCCATATCTCTGACCCTTTTCTTTTGTTCAACCTCGACAGAACGGCAGTTCTACGAAGAGGGCAAACCTTTTACTTGCCTAGATGGCTCCCGCACGATTCCCTTTGACAGAGTGAATGATGACTACTGTGATTGTAAGGATGGCTCTGATGAACCAGGTGCGTGTATACTGAATGCTTTTGACGCCTACACTGCTATCTAGTAGGTGTGTAACATTACACAAGTCAGAGTTCCGTTCATAGCCCGGTTGGGTGGACATTTGGTACAGAGGAAAACACATCCAACACTGGACATCTTTCTATTAGTTAACATTAAAGACACACAAAATCCCCTTGCGAGGGACAACTTTAATAAATTGTTTCATTATAAAAACTAAGGAACATATCAAACACTTCTGTATTACACTGCACAAACACTAAACCCTTTAATAAAAGGCAACCGGTCACAAAAGGCTATACAACTGAAGAGTATCTCTAATGCTATGACACTGAAAAGACATACATTTAAATATAATAGTTACTTTTTATTTACAATATTAGTAGTAATGTGAATTGTTTAGAAAAGCTGCTTGGTCTGAATCTTCTAACTTTTCAAGGTCATGACAATATGGAGCACCTGTTATACTCCAAATATTATTTTGCAGGCACTGCTGCTTGTCCCAACGGCAGCTTCCACTGCACCAACGCAGGTTTCCGACCAGGCTTCATCCCTTCCTCCCGCATCAATGACGGAATTTGTGGTATGTGTTTTAAACTGTTATGCCTACCTCTTACGGGTGTGTTGTGTGGGCAGCTTTTTTGTCTAACATCTGCGTTTCTTGTATAGACTGCTGTGACACAACAGATGAGTACAACAGTGGTGCTGCCTGTCAGAACACCTGCAGGTGGGAATGGTTTTGTCTTATAACTCTAATAACTTAAGTACACCTGCAAGAATAAGCCTGATCTGTTCAGACATTATACATAATAATAATAATAAATGATATTTATATAGCGCCTTTCAAGGGACCCAAGGTCACTGTACATGGTGGACAAACAAAACAAACAGACAATCAAAGGGCAAACAACAAATAAAGGAAGCCGGGGGACCAAGAAAGGGCTAGGGCCCGAAGGCCAGGGTGAACAGGTGTGTTTTTAGAGATGATTTGAAGATGTCCAGGGAGGCAGCATTACGGATCTCGGCAGGAAGTGCATTCCAGAGGGTGGGGGGCCGCAACACTGAACGCCCTGTCACCAACAGTTCAGAGGCGAGAGCGGGGGATGGAGAGCAAAATATGCCCGTGTCTGTGGACCTCAGACACGGGCATATTTTCTGAAAATATGAAATGCTTTGTTTATTGTTGAGTATTTTCTTTATATTTCGTGTGATTTGCAGGGAGTTGGGGCGCAAAGAGAGGGAAAGCCTGCAGAAGATGGCAGAGATCACTAAGGAAGGCTTTCTGCTTAAACAACAACTTATCCAGGAGGCAAAGAGGGGCCTAGAGGAAAAGAAGGTATGAATGACAACAGAACCGTTGGAATTTGTTTGTGTAATAATCAAGATTCGTAGCTCTGAAACATTTATTTTCTCATCGTCAAATATGTTTCATACAGGGATACTGACACTTTCATGAAGACGGATGAAGGTGTTCACAAACATGTTTTATATGTCTAGTTATGTCACCTATTCTTTTGCTTATTATGCACACAAACTGAGAGTAGTTGTAGGAGTGACCAAATCATCCCACTCACTCACTTTGTATAGGCCTGATTCACACCAAGAAAATAGAAACGGCCATCTTAATCCTCCTGTAAAACACAAACAAGCACATTACGCTCATCTCATAGTAAATAAAGAGGTGCCAGGTCTTCCAGGTTGTTGGTGATGTTCTTATTCTTCTCTGTTGCCTTTGCTGCTCACAGCTGTTCTCCTTTGAAAATATGTCAAGGCATAGTTTTGTATACGGCATGGCGTTTTCAGGGATTGTGTGTGTTCTTAAATTGATTAAAGGTATTATTTTGATTGTCTTCTACAGGCCAAACAAGCAGATATTCAGATCGGTAAGAAAGATTTGGAAACTAAGGTGGAGGCCCTGAGAACAGTGAAGGAGACTGCAGAGCAGCCAGAAAAAGAAGCCAAAGAGCGCCATCTGAAGGCCTGGGAAGGTAAATTATAATGTGAAAGCATTTCACCACTCCTGTTTGAACAGAGCATCACATAACATATGGTACAGTCTGTTTTATCACATTTTTGAGCTAGACGAAGTTACCTGGATTCCATTTGCACTAGTTATACTAAAACTTGACGCTGATGAGACTTCTGCCCTGAAGTTTATGTTATATAACAGCAATTGGTAACACTGTATACAATATGTGTACAATATGTGTGTAAATGAAATGTAATGTAATGTGTGTATGATTAGAATCATAATAAATAAATGATATTTTTTGTTTCAGAACAAAAGGCTGTTATTCAAATGGAGAAGGACAAGGCTAAAATGGCTGAGGTGTTGTCTGAACTGGATGATGATGCAGATGGCTCGTGAGTATCAGCACCCTCAATAACTATTAGCACCCATCATGGGAGAAGCCTGTGTTGTTAGACTCACCAGGTTGAATACAATAATGAAAAGGAGAAATGCAGCATTTGTAAATCTGGAGTGTGATTTATTTTAAGTTAACTTTTGTTTTGTGACTTGTATAATTGGAATCCAAATTGCTGCTAGAGAGACTACATTTATTTAAACCAAAAAAGGCCAGAAAATAGATTATCACTCTTTTAAAAAAAAATGTATACTCATATCTTTCTTTTTTTAAATTTACAATTCTTTATTTCGAAGACAGTTGAGAACATTTCACCAGTTACAATGGAATAGACTTGCAGTTACAGGGAGTAGTGAACATTTGCAATAAGGGAACAGTATACATTGAAGCCCTCCCCTTCTCATTGTCCTCTTTTTCTTCTGATGTGGTATACTCATATCTTTCATATGTACCTTTTGTAGGATCATTAGTGTGATAGTAAGTATTATTTGTGTTTGCTATAACTCAATAATGACGTGTCTTTGTTTGTGTCAGTGTCTCCGTGGCTGAGCTTCTGTCCCACTCTGAGCTCGACCCAGATTCAGACGGATCCTTCACAGAAGCAGAGGCGCAGGTGATTATTTGTGTGTTCCTATAAAAACCCTGATGGTAAAGTCAGTGTGGCGGCTCAATCCCCTGTTGCATTTGAGTCGCCGAGAGGCTAAACTTTGCTATAAACTGTGACGCGTTTTCGAAGAGAAAGTCCATATTGAAGCCATATAGTTTTAAGGATATTTAATAAACAAAATCATAGCATAGTAACTATGGACAAAACGGTCAACAGAAAAAATGACAGCACAAGCTCACCCTCTGTCATCCGCACTCGACATGAAACAGGTGACTTACATAGACAAACCACACCCATGTGACAATTACCGGAAGTGCTCAACAAACAAATAATAATAATACAAATAATGAACTTGGGCTAAGTAGCATTATGGCACCTACAGTCAGGGTTCATACGGTCATTAAAAACCTGGAAAGGTCATGGAAATTCAAAATGCTAATTCCAGGCCCTGGAAAAGTTACGTAAAACAATATCTTTCCCAAAGTTTTGGAAAAGTCATTAAAATCGAACTAAAGTTGCATCGAATATAATTTATATTTTATCTAATCGCCGAAATAGTAATACTATAATGAAAATAAATACTGTAAGTTATTTGTTTTACAACATGTTTCATATGCAGACCTTATTTTCCTGTTACATAAACAATTTTCAGTGGTACCGCTGAGAAAGAGTCATTTTCTTTGGTCATGGAAAATGAGGTAAATGGAGAAGTCATTGAAAATCATTGGTGAAAAAGTGTATGAACCCTGTAAAGTGCACTTACCATTAAATGTCAGAAATGAAACAATTCGAGAAACACATTTGACGGAGCTGAATCTAAATGTGAGTATTGTCTTTGGGTTTAGGGACTGTTAGGAGGAGTTGACAAAGTGGACTCTGTAGCCTTTGAGTCTGTTTGGAATAACATCAAAGACAAATACACATCAGAGGTAAGCCCCCTGCACATTCTTCTTTAGTAAGCTCAACGTGTGGAAGCCTCGGCCTCCTTTTGAAAATGTTTATCTTTCCTGGCAGCAGGCCAACACGGAAACCCCAGCAGAGGTGGAGACTCCGGGGGAGGAGATAAGGGAGACCCCCTCCGACAACGACTCCGAGCAGTACCCTGAAGACGACATCCCAGAAGAAGAGGAGGAAGATGATGAAGAGGACGAAGAAGAAGACCAAGATGATGGAGACTATAAGGTAAGCGCACCCGATTTCTCCATCAAACTTATGCTGCATGACTCAAGTTTTCCTTTAGTGAGTCACTCTTCTGTGTGTTCGATCAGCAGAGCCCTCCTCCGACGCAGACCCCAGATAAGAAGGATGAAGATGACGAGGGGACGATGCCACCCTTCGACCAGGAAACGCAGAACCTCATTGATGGTAAGAGTTTGTAGGAAAGTGAGCGAGTCCGCCGTCCACAGCTGTGAGTGTGTGAGTCACGCTGTGAGATCATAAAGCACCAATGTGACTGCATATCAATTAGGGCTGGGGGATAAGGGGAGACACATTATATATTATAATGCTTTTGTGGAACAATACTGTACAGCTGACCAAAATCTTAAAACAAGATTTGTCATCATCATCAGTAATGTGGATATAATTACTGAATTGGTAAAGACACATTTCTAAACCTCAACATGTACCAACACCAATAACTTTGAAAGCCATTAAAACCATGAAAATACAATTATGCTTTATAGTCAATATTCAAAACATAAGACTATCCTGTCACGTTATCTATATCATATCGATATCTTGTCCAGCCCTAATACCTATTAATTGGAACTTAAATGCACACACATAAGTTGTTTATTGAAGAGACGTTTCTTTTATATACAGGAGGGCCCTTTTTGCTCAGACTTTAGTATGTGGGTGTGTAAGCCGTTGTGTGTGTGTATGAGCTTGGACTGAATTGACTTTATTTGCATTCTGTGCTTTTGATTCCCAGCTGCTCAGAAAGCCAGGGATGCATTTGATGAAGCCGAGAAAGCTCTGCGAGAAGTCGATGATCAGGTCAAGTAAGTGCTCTGAATATGAAGCAGCTTCTTTGCCAATAATGCAATCAGCGTTGGTTACTAAAACTGCACTTTGAGCAGCTTCAATAGATCATTGTGTTGCACAGTCAGTGTGGTGTTAGTGGAAGAAATAAAGGATTCCATTTTAAACTTTTTATGTTTGTTTATTTTCTACTCTTTTTATTTTCACATGATGTGCAATGCCTTGTTTTAACATGCATGCATCTAATCGTGTCTGCTTTTTCTCTGCAGGAACCTGGAGAAGGAAATCTCCTTTGACTTTGGACCCAATGCGGAGTTTGCATACCTCTATAGCCAGTGTTATGAGTTGTCTACTAGCGAGTATGTACACTCTCTGACTTAGGAAAACAAGTATTGTGCTCATTAATCATTATTTAGGTTCCTACTACTGAAGACTTATAATTGAATATTTTGTTTCCAGGTACATCTACAGGCTCTGTCCATTCAACAGAATGTCCCAGAAACCCAAGTTTGGTGGATCGGAAACTAACCTGGGGTAAGGGAATATCCATGGTGTTTCTTTTTCGGTCTTTCTTTATACACTCTTCACTTGCAACATATCTTTTGTTTTCTGTAGATCATGGGGGCATTGGGCCGGTCCAGAGGATAACATCTACTCTTTGATGAAGTATGAACATGGGACAGGGTGCTGGCAGGGCCCGAACAGGTCCACCACGGTGAGGCTCAGGCAGATCTAGTTCAACATTTCATTTCCCACCCCATTAATATTTCTCATTGCACAAGGCACAGCACAAAATAAATCATCTTTTGTCTTTTTAGATTAAGTTAACGTGCGGAACGGAGACAGTGGTGACATCTGTATCGGAGCCCAGCCGCTGCGAGTACCTGATGGAGTTTATCAGCCCTGCTATCTGCCAGGAGCCCCCCAGCCTGGATGCAGCGCTTCATGGGCATGAAGAGCTCTAGATCCACCTGATCTGTGAGTAACTCATTTCCTGTGTTGGCAAACCGTATTTTGTCTCCATATTCTACCCAGTAGGATATTTATCTCGTGCCCTATTTTGTTAAGATTTTGAGGGACAGGTTTTTTTAACCCAAAAAATACTGCACCTAAAGTAAGCAACTGTTCATAGTTTCTAAATGGTGCTTACTCAAACAAAAATAAATATGAGTGCAGTGAAACCTGCATCATGAAGGATTAGCATTTCAACATTCTGTTGTGAAGAAAATCCTCTGTGCAGTTTCAGCTTCCCTTTAGAAGAAGAGCAAGGCAGCAACAACAGCAAGGTAAAGGCAACTTTCTTGAGTTTATTGTAGTTGTTAGGATGAAAGAGGAACTAAACTCTTAACTCAATCAGAGACTTGTGACAGCTTAGCATTGTGTATACTTTTTCATTTAAGCTTTCGTAAAAATGCTGGTAAACTGTGATATCAGTGTTACTGTTGCTAGATGCAATGGAAACTGATATCATGTTATGCTGAGCAGAGTGAATAGATATCAGCTGTAGCTTCCTGTTGAAATAAACAAAAGGCTACTGTACTTTATTGAACACTTAGATGTATCGGGTGTTTTAAACGCATTAGCGGTTTGTAACTTCCTGTTTATTATTGGATTGTCGACAGGATTTTGAGCTAAGCTGGGCTTTATTTTACTGATAGTGCTGATATCTTTAGGTCTGCTAAAGGAAGCGTGGAGCCGAGAGAGTCTGGGACAACAGAATTGATGTTTCATGGACCTAAATCAATTTAAACAGTAATACCCATATTGAAGTGCTGACTGCAAGATAACACAGGAAGTGCCTACATCCGTGGTGTGAATGCTTAGTCCTCGGAAAACAAACCGCCGGGGATCAATTTCACTTAAATTGCCCTTCCCTTTTAACAACTAGGAAGTCATGACTTAACAACATGCCACTGAAATGAATGTGTATGCGCTCACTCTTGCAGGTTGTTCTTGAGGGACCACAGTCACTGCAGCAACACGAAGTTGTTGTGAGAGGCACCATCATGGCATTGAAAAACAATTCAGAATAAACAACGGAAATTCCAATGAGCGGTTATCTCCTCTACACATCCACTTTCCACTGCTTCCTGTTGTGTTTTCTCTCTGATTTGTGACAAATGTATTCATTCCATTGTTTTCAAATAAAGCTCATTTTATCTCAACTCAAACTTGTGTTCATTTTTAGTTCCAGTGTAAAACTCCATTTTCATACAGGCTTAAAATCAATACTGCTGTTTTGCATTTATGAAACCTAGCGGGAGATAACACTATGGGGAAGAGCTTAGTACAAAACTTATAAATACAAGCAGCAATATACTGTTCTTACAAACTTATACCATTTATTCAACTTCTTATTTAATTCATATAAAATATACACCTTGCAAAAGACCTATTGCATAACTAATTATACTTGTCTAATGAAACAACCTGGCATGGGCAGAAGTGTTCAGTGATAACATTCAACAATCTCAGTCAATAAAAACGGGATCACTCAATATTTGTAACTTTTATTTTATTTTTTTCTGGCATGTAAAGTACAAATAATTAAACAATTCCATGAAAAAGTCTTCAAGCGTCTTCAGCTGAAATCCCAGTAATAAATATCCTAGACTAAACTGAAAGGTTTATTTTTTTTTTCTTTGTTAAATTTTGACATTGTTCATTTGGTCATGTTTGGAAGTATGAGATTTTGAACTGTTTTGATCATTTTCACCTTTTGATTTGTTCTACCATTCCAGGAAAATGTAAGAAAAACATCACTAAGTTACTGCGTCCCCTCTTCTAAATAAATAGACACAAAATACAGTTGGTTGAGAAACAGAAGGACCACTCACCCCTTTACTCCCCTAGAGACACCCAAGAAAACCTTCCTGCAGCTTTTCTGAGCTCTGTAATATTGTTGCCGAAGGTCTTTGCTGGGTTTTTTAAATGCATCTCGGGGCTAAAGAACATCTTAGTTTCAATTCAGATGATCTCAGTATTACAATGCTGTTACAGAAACAAACCCTTAATATCTTTTTTTTTTATCAACCCATCAGCATAAACAGGAAAGCATCTTGTGAGCTATCAAACCTAAGACATCCCTTTTGTTCCTGGCTAGTTTTTGGACCATCAAATGTTCCAAAACCTCGCTACAGGGACTGTCCCATGTCTCGGGGGTTCATAGAGTGGTTGAAAAAACAAGACTGTGATTAGATTAAATAATTAAAAGATTTTCATTTAACAAGACAAACAGAACACAGGCAGTAAAGGCATAACATCTAGCACACAGCATGTATGTTTATACACTTCAATTAGTTAAATATAGCAGTGCATTCTTTGACTATGGAGAACGTTTCCAAATCGTACTTCTAAAGCTGTTTTTCTATTTGTCCCCCTTTTTAAGAAACGTAATGGTGTAACCACAATTTTGGCAAACTTAAAATCTTTTAAACTTGCAAATATAATGAAATAAACCATAAATATACACAAAACATACTTTATACGAGGCAATAATAATAATAATAATCATAATAAATAGTTTTTAAGTTAACAATAAGTTAAAACTACAAGCTTAAAGTCGCCCAAATAATACAAGTTTGTTGGCGCTATTTTGAATTTTTTCTGTTTAAATTATTTTATGTTGCAACAAAAGCTACCACAGACTTTTACAAACACAATTGAACACAGTTTGATTGAAATAAAAAAATCTAACTAAGTCTAAACTCGGCATACACTGTAAAACTGCAACTAATTAAATAATGAAGAAAAATAACAAACTGTACCCAATCAATGCAACCAAACATAATCTTTGACCCATGTGTGTTCTATATGGCAACATCAACAACACAAATACGCTAATTCAACAAGTGAGTCTTGATATGTAAATGAAATCAATAAGTTACAGGAAAGAAATGATATTTGAAATTGACATGGGCTAAAAACTGATGATATATTAGACAGTATTCCTTTCAAGGTCATTGAATTGCTCTATTGAGTCAGCCAAATATGCAGTTTCTTTGAGCTTTCATGGTCAGAGCACAAATTAGGGGCTAAGGAAGTGATTATGGAAATGTACAGATCAGACCTCTCATTGCTTGTTTTATTTTCTTAATGAGTCCGTTCATTTTAATGTTTTTGTCTGAACTTTTACTATTCCGCAAACCTTTTCAGTGTGACGTTTAATTTCTTTTTTTAAAAATATATATCATTTGATCTCAGTCAATATAAAAACAAAGCACATTGCACTTACTGTTCCATAGGAAAGTTTTTTTGTCTTTTTAAATGAATATTGTTGTTGCTCAAGCAGTGTAGTACTGTTTCCTGCCATGGTCCTTGGCTCTCTACTGTACATCAGGTGTAGGTCTTGGTATCGACTGTGTATGAAAGGTCGTTTGGGGCTGTGGGTTTGGTTTGTGGGTTGACTGTACTACATCGGACATGGCTGGGTAAACAACTCCAGCTGCAGTTCAACGTGGCCTGTTATCTAGGTTTTTCCTAACGTCTATCACTGGTCTGACCAAGTGCTCAGTCCTATATTTCTTCCAATTTGCTCGACCCAAAGTGGCTAGATTAGCCATTTTTGTGGTCATCTCCGGAAACGTCAGCGACAATCATTTAGAGTATTTCGGGGGGGGGAAACAGATCGAAAGATGCCAGAGTAAGTGGTGCAAAGTTAACGGTTTTAAAGGATTCAATTAGTCACAAAACAAAGCAGATGATATAAAGTATGGGGGGGAAAACATTATAAGAATGCATCAAATTTGTACTTTGTCTAGAGGCGAACTGATTCATCGTAATTTATATTTTGATATGTTTTTTTTCTATCATTCGGTGTGTGTGCATACAATTTGTGCAAATGGGATTGCTTGCGACTGTTTCATTTTAGCATTTGGTTTAGTGGTTATAGGATTTACTAATGCAAACTGATATGTGCAACTTAGATATTTAAAAGTAATGATAACGGAAATTGTAGAGGGTCCTTATTCAATAAATAACATAGATTTGTACAGCAATTACTCAGGGAATAATATAGTTAGTCTTAATTTATCCTTCTTGGTACTGACTTGCAAAGCAATTCTTTGGCAAAAATCAAATCTATCTAATCATAAAGAGCCATGCTCAGTGTTCATATGAATCTGTATCACTGTTTGAATCTGCATTTTACCTTTTTCATTTGCAAGCAGCTATTCGGTTGTTCAGCTGAGCGATGAGCCGGTCTCACTGCAGCTTTGTCTGGGATTCTCAAGTCAAAGAACTTCACTTCACTGCACCATGGTGGAAGCAACACTGTACACAACTTCAGGACAAGAGAGGAGTGTGTATAAGCACTCAGAAGTATAGATGTGTCTGTCAGGTTACATACTCAAGTGTTGAATTTAGCTTTTTTTACATCTAATTTACTTTTGTTAGTTAATTTCAATTGTTGTGATATGCTTGAACGGTTAAGTTTGTATGAGATACGATGCTCCTTCGCCCCTTCCCTAAATCCCCACCCATACACCGCATGCTTATTCCCCCTTGCTCTGCAAAGATCAGAGGGTTTAAAATAAAGCCATGCGATGTCCCAATTTTTCCAAGCTTAAGAATCTGTAAAAATTCAGCACAAGGTCTTGTTCCTTTGTATGTATAAAAATAGATTTATCTCTAATGTAATCCTTTCAAAGAGATCGTCCTCTTTGGCTAACACAGCGTCATTTAGAAAAGCAAAAGCAAAAATGTCTTGAATATAGTTGACCTTATTTAATCTATTATCATGTGCAGATGTCTTGATATTGAAAGACATTCGCTCTCCCCACGGTAAATCGTAAGTCTGGTCTGTAACAGACGTTTCATCTAGACAGGTTGGCCTTAATGTTTCATCAAGGGTGCCATAAATAATTTTCATGCAATTGGGTTGGGGATATTTTGAGTAATGCTATTTTTGTGAAAGTGCCAAATAGATCTAAAGCAGATAAATAAATACCTTTCCGTTGTAAACAGATGTATTATTATGACACTTATTTGCAGGCTTGATGTTGTACAGTCATCTTTTAAGAGGGCAGGAGTACAAAGTTTCTTGGAAGCTTTTAAGAGAATTTAGCGGTTTTAAATAAAACTGAGGAGCATTTGGCAAAGCTAGAGGAACTATTAATCTTTTTCCTCCAAGGATCAGTGATCATTTTAACATTGCCATATATTATCGCTCACACACGAGACTCTAAGTCAGTTTTAAATATTCAGTCAGTTGGAACTGCAGTCCTACTAATCTGCTCTATGCATGTTGGTTCTGTAGATGTGCTCAACTGAATGGTAACAATTTGACCTAATTTATCCTGGGAGCTTCTATCTGTGCACTAGACTGAAGAATAATACCGGTGCTCTTGAGTTTTTGCTCATGTGTGTTATATCTCTGCAGAGTAGCATAGACCATTGTTCAGTCAATGGGGTGTATTGTTTGACATTTTCTTCTGAGTTACTTGTAGCTGCTTCTTGGGTCTTAATCCCATTCAAACTATCAAATTCCTGCCTCCATTTATAGTTATTAATCTAAAGCCTTGAAGTCCTGTCTTGCTGTAACTTTCATAATCAAAGCAAGAACATTATAATTTGGATGTCTTGTTTGCTTTGTTCTCGTGACGAAAGATGGCCTTTGTGTTAAAGGGATATCGCACCAAATCATGGCTGACAATTCCATCCAGAGTAAAAAGGCCTGTCGTTAATGTGCTGAGGTGTAATACATTTCTTTGCAAAAAGTGAAAAAACACCGGTATATTCCTCTGACGTGGCTGTGTTATGATGAGACGGTTTTCCCCTTGTACTCGTCGCACTCTCGCCCACTAGAGATTTACTAATGAACACTGTCACCATGGGAGCACTGCCACTCTGCTCTAAGTTCACAGACAGTCTGCTTGTGTTGAACCCATCCTAAGGATAGATTAGAAGATCAATCCAGGAACGTTTGCTATGTTTTACTTAATATATCTTCTAGTTATTGAACTGTGTTTCAGTGATACAGAAGTGTACTATTAATGTTGTTTGGTGTGAGACTGTGAGGGAAAGAGGCATTCTGATGGCTTTCGGACTACTCTTTTCTGTGACCAGTTTTCATTGGTTAGCCTAAATCTTATTGGGTCTGAGCTAATCAGCTCACATATGGTAGAGGAACTGCCTTTACGCTAGGCACCACCTAATGCAGGTCAGGAAACAGTAGTCAACGTTTCTAGAAAATGCTTACATACTCGGCTATTATAACCACCTTAAATATTGAATATATAGTTATATTTTTAATAGACGTATATAAGAGAACACTGTTTTTTAATTTCATTTTCTTTGATCTAAAAAAATCGCTGATTCAAAATGCCCAAGTGTAAAAAAAGTGACTACATCCTCTCCAGCAAGATAATAGGAGAGATGGTGGGGTAAGAGTTTGGGTAAATTGCACATATTTGTTCATTTTAAATTTTTGATCGTTTTGTTCATCAGTTGTCATTATTTGCCTGAATTCAATCAAAGCACTCAGTACACATTCTCTGTCACATTCGTTAGACTGTCTCCTAAATAGATAGCTCTTGCTCCTACCCAACAAACCAGCTACGTACCCCTTCTAATTCAATCCAGGCAAATATAGGGAAGGACTAGCATGTTGTGTAAAGAGAAAAGAAAAACTCCACTAGTGTGTTTGTTTGATACTCTGACTTGTGTATGCTTGCGCGTATGGATATGTTTGGTTATGTCTGTGCGTGTATGCCTGTATCTGCATGTCTGTGTTTGTGATAATATATTATGGATTTGTGTGTGAATGTGTCAGAGAGAGACTCAGTCCAGGCCCATGTAGAGTGATGTCACAGGGAGCTCAGGGGGCTCCCTGCAGGTCGAAGGAGCTTGGTGCCCGCAGCCTCTCTCTCAGGCCTTGTGCTGCTTGCTGGTCTTGAAGGAAACCTGCAGCACGCGGTCGCCAAGGCGGTAGCCATTAAGGCTAGCGATAGCCATGGCAGCTTCATCGTAGTTGGTCATGGTGACGAAGCCAAAGCCCTTACATTTGTTGGTGGTGAAGTCACGGATGACCTTGACATTGGTGACTGCGCCGAATGGCCCAAAGAGCTGCCACAGGACGCTCTCGTCCGCCTCTGGGGACAGGTTGTACACAAAGATGCACCAGCCGGCTCCAGTTGGACCGGTAAGGTTGACGCCCGCAAGGCTGGTCATGCTGTCAATGGTGATGGGGGAGAATCTGGGGAAGAGAGTAGGAGAGCTACCATGGGTGTCATTCTGAAGTTCTACACAGCATCCAGTTCTCTATACTGTCTCTTATGGGCTTGTTTCTGTGAGAAATGATAAAGATTGGAGTCGGGGGACTCCATCTCCATCCCCTCTGCTGTACAGTAAGTAGATAAATATGTGTGGGCACCGCAGTGGCTCCAAACTACCTGCTTTTATACAGAATGACACTGTGTGCCCTGAGACACTGACACCCACACACTGTGAATATTTTTCTCATTTTTCTCTGCTGACCAAAGCCTCTGGAATAATTAAACATGATTCACAATGTTCAACAGAAACCACAGTATTGAACAAAACACAGAAACCTAGAGAGGGATGAAAAGCAAATTGGAATCAAATCAAATCATACACAAACTGGAGCAAACAGAGGAGACGCAAACGGAATCTGGTATGTCCATGCTGGTGAAAAAAAAGGGACATTAAAGCAACTGAAACTGACAATGTTAGTTCATAAATAAATACATATAAATTATTTCTATTAATTAAAATAAAAAGAACGAAAAGGTTAAACAAAGCCATGCCAGAATACCCTGCTGTTAGAAGCTTGCATCATTGCATTACTGATAGTATTTTGTTGTCTAGGCTGCTTCTGTAACATGGTTTATATGGGCAGTGGGTATTAAGAATTGTGGCCATTTTATCTGATTTCGAGATGAAGTCAGCAGGTGGTATTCCAGGCACTTTGTTTGAGGTTTTAATTTGGCATGGATGCTTTTGAAAATACACCTTTGGCATTTACCTCTTGACTCCGTAGCTGGCGTTTAGTAAATTGTCGAGTCTGCAACGCAAGAGGGAAAATGAAGGGGATGCAAAAGTTAGTTATGAGATCTACAAGGAAGGGGGGCTTTCAGTTAACATGTTGCTTCTTCAGCGGCCTCCAGAGGGCATCCTCCGCTGCATCGCAGTCCCAAACCATCCAACCACAAACTGATGGCGTCTAAAAAAACTCCTGTGAGTATGTCTCAGCTGGTATTTATTGTTTGTCGAGTTCGGTTGGTTAAACTCCAAAATAGATCCCCCTTTAACAAAATCTGTATCCTAGGCCATTTCACATCTACTGATAAAAAGTAATTAGCCATAATGAATAAGTTAGCATGCCCTGATCTACAATTGTTTATGAGGTTATATAAACATATTTACTTCTGAAAGCCTTTGAACCTTTATTCAAAAATATCAATGTATAGATGTGGCCGACATCTGACAATTTCTCTCTATATTATGCCCATTATGTTGTAAAGACAAACTTTAAAGGTTCAGAGTCATTCTTCCTAAACCAGTATTTATTTAGCTTTGTTGTTTTGTTTTTTAAATTGTATTTGGAAAAGTCTGGTCTCTTACATTGGTTTTGAGCTGTTATTTGGATCTGGTCCCTTTCCAAGTGAAGGGATCATGCTGCAGTTTAAAAGAAAGTCAGAGAGAAAGAGTGAGAAGGAGGGACAATGCAATATTGCCAATTCCTTCTGTACTGTAAAGCAATAATATTGCTTCAAGGAACAATTTGTTAGTATAGACAGAAACGGTTGTTTTGAATTTGAATTTCTTTTGAATACACATTTTCCCACTTGCTGTTTGTGGGGCGTGCGACTTCATCTGATATGCCTTAGCACTCTTAGGTGGTGTGAGTCTGCCGGGGGTTCAGTACCTGAAACGCTGAGTCTGGTGGTGCAGCGGCCCTGTGTAGCGGCGGGCAGCGGTCTGGTACAGCTGAGTCAGTAAGGCCTGGCCTGTCTTCTGGCTGGGGTTGTTGGCAAACTTGACAGTGATGGGCTCCGCGGCCCCCAAAGGCTTCTGTCCGTTCAGACCTTTGATGGCCTCCTCTGCCTCATTGCGCTTATCAAACCGGATGAAGCCCACTCCTCGTGATATGCCTGCTCCGATTTAGAATAAGAAAAAAATGTTACTACCTTGGCATCCATGACAGTTTCTGCCTACCAGTCTTTCTTACAGACATGGAATGGCTTTTTCGTGGGACATGATGTAAGGCCTTACCTGTGACTTGGTCCACTAGGATACGGGATGTGATGATGCGACCGTATTGGGAGAACAGCTGCTCCATGTCCTTCTGGTTCATGGTTTTGGGGAGTCCACTCACGTAAAGGTTGGCATCACGGATGGAAGCCGAGCTTGGCCGGGCATATGACACCTTTAACACCAACACAAAATAATAATTTGATTACATTTATGTACCCCAAAATCACAAAGTTTCAGATGGCTTAAATTAGGGAAACATATTGAAAAAAAACCAGATATCTTTGGAGTGACTTTCCAACAAATAGTCTTTTTGTCATTCTCCTTTTTTCCTCTTTCTCTTAAATATCTGTTGACCCAAAGTCATACTGATCATCAGCTAACACGCCTAAGTGTAAGCTTTGTTTTGCACTGAAAAGCATCAGTTAGTTGATGTATTTTGCCTGAAATCACTGGTGACTTAATTAGTGCACAGCCATTTTTGGTGCGTCTGTGCTTATATCCCTTATGGTTCTCTGTTGGTCTACTTTCGTACTGCAGATAAATATTGAATTGATTGTTTTAAAAAGGGCACAAAAACATTCTTGTTTTTGTGTTTATGGGAGCATGCGAACACATGTGTGACAGATAATCCAGTTCAGTGTATTGTTGGAAGTGCTGTGATTGTGTGTGATGGAGAGACAGAGTGAGTGTTGTGTGAGATAGGCTGAGCTGTCCTGCCTCTTTCCTTTGTCTCTATGCTCTGGGGGAGAAATGCTCCACTGGCAAACAGCACACAATGTAAGGGCATCACAAGACTTGCAAGATCCTCGAAAACTTGAAAACACTCTGACACACACACACACATTGCTTATATGCATATGTGTTGGTGTGACAAATATACATATTAACGAATTGTACTATTTTAAGACAGCTGTAATCTGATTTGCTTAGGCACAAAGAAAGCTTTGAATTTGAATTAAAAAGGACTTGTATATTATCTTTCAGATGAATACAGGTGTTCTGATTTTATCCGTCACTACTGAGCACCAGTGTCTATTGTGTACACAGACGGACTGTGTGAGCAGGAGGGTTGTGTGGTGCAGTGATTAGGGTGTTCTGGGTGAGTCAGGGGGGAGTCGCTGTGTTCCGGGACCAGAGGCTGCCCTATAATTAACCCTCTCCCTGTCGCTCCCACAGTACAGATGGTGCCTGAAGCCCATATGGCCTCTAATCCTGTCATTGGCATTCTGCTCTCCGAGCTACCCCCTACCCTTTCACTGATGCCCCCCCTCCCCTCCCTCACAGCGTCGCCCCTCTTTATTTAAGCATTCTGTAAAATCAGATAAAACTATGCTTTTGAGCAGAGGAGTTATTTTGTAACATTGGAGAATAAGGAAATACAAATGTAATTAAAGATTAAGCGATGTATGTATAGATAAATTGAATGATTATAGAATGTCATAACATAAGATTAACAATATAATGTGTTTACACAATCAACACCTTTTCTACATGGTTGTTCCAGAGTCAGAACAAATTTGAATCCATAAGAAATGAGAGAAATAAGTGCAATTTTGTGCACAATATTTTGCACGCAGGACATTTCATAATTATGAAATGATGAAACCCAAATCCAGCTCTTGACTTCCTCATTATAGCTAGTTTTTTCAGTCAGCCGTTCATCAGAATTAAAGTCCCTCTTCATGGACAGCTGTTGGAAGATCACCTGCTCTGCTTTCTCAGAGATTTGATTTCTCAATCCTGCAGTTCTGTCTGAATCTTTGATCTACTTAGGGGGATGGAAGGAAGTGGTGTCTTATAATATGCCCCCTCTTTCCCTCATCTGATTTTGGGACAAAGAAGGCCCCTAATTAGCCTGGATAAGAGGCAGATGGGGTAACCAGGACTGACCCTAGTGCACCACAGCCTGCCTTCCTAATTACATTTCCATCACAATAACCTCTGCATGCTGTCGGCCTCTTGCTTTCTGACCTCCACACTCTTCTGCTCTTTTCACCCTTTCTCTACTTCCTTTGTTCTGGCGACCGCTCCCTTCTGCCTCCTCCTCCCCATTTTCCTCCCCTCCCGCTGTCACGTCTGTCGCCACCTCTCTTAGCAACCCCACCCCGCCCCCCTCACACCCTTGACAAAATCTCGACTTCCTTTATTTTTGTCTTGTGCGGTTTGAAGAATGCTTAAGAAAAAAAAAAAAATGCGATTATTGTAGAAAGCTCACCTTGATTGTTTTAGTCTGCAGCTTGAGACCATTCAGTGTGTTGATGGCCTTATCTGCATCGTTTGGATCCACATAGTTTACGAAACCATATCCCAAACTCTGACCTGGAGACAAAGAAAGACCCCCTGAAATGTCAGTGATTTTAAGAGCCAGTCATAAAGTTATTTCTTTCCGGATGTGGACAAAGAGTAGTACCTGTTATCTTGTCTCTGACCAGCTTGCAGGACTCGATCTCTCCAATGCTGCCAAACAAACTTTTGAACTCTTCCTGGGTCATGTTCTGAGGCAGATAGTTGACGATCAGGTTGGTTTTGCTGTCGTCTGTGGAGCCATTGGTGCTAATGACTGGACCGTTGGGCAGACTGGTTCCGCTTGGACCGTTGGACACCTGGGTTTCCATGGTGCTGATTATCTGCTGAGGAAGAGGGTGGGGTTAGATTCATAATTCACAAAGAGACAGAAAAGGAGTGTTTTTTTAACATAAACTATACACACAAGACACGCGCACAGACTGTCCACTCTGTCACTGTCAGAGGGAAAGGTCAGAAATCAGCATTGCTAAAATGGAGATGGATACACGGTTTGATTCATTATCTCCCCTCCCCCACTTTTACCCCATCTTCCCCCTCTCTCGCTCCCTGCCTCTGGTCCTGCAGATGTCACAGTCCCTTTTTCCTTACTTCTCCCCTCCCCCTATCTCTTCCAGGGTCAAACACCATTACATCATTACACAGGGATGGATAATAGTGATGGTGGTGTGTGAGGCCGGGGGAGTTTGACGGTGGCAGTGGTTTACGAGATGACGGACAAAAGGAGGGTTGTGTTAAAGAGATTTAATGCTACAGGAAATAAGGAATATCACGGTTTGGTAGAAAAATAAGGTTGAATTACACTTGTGTTCCTAAGATCTTGTTCAGATGTCTTTGTGGTCAGCTGACTTGTTTTTGTAAGTAGAGTAAAGGCGTTGGTTAGTGCACAGTATAGTGTTTGTGTTGCTCTGGAGTACACCGTGTTGCTTAATTTGATCCACAGCGGCTCCTCAAGCAACATCTGTGTTGCCAAAAACAAAACTTCCTGCTCCACTTTCCATTTCCTCTCAACACCCACTTCTCTGTGTCTGGATCATTATCTCTGGTGTAAATCTACATGGAAAATCACTGCAAACTCTGTATTTTAAACTAAGGACAAATCATTTCAAGGTGACATGTTTGTCGTCTTGTTCCTAAGTGTGATGCTAATGTTTTAAAGCTGCAGTGATTTGATTTGAAGATTTGAAGAAATAACAAAATGTTCAGGCTTATTATCAAAAATATGTATACATCCTATTTTCTTGTGCACATTAAATGAAAGGACAAGTCTTTTTTTTCATTTGCATCTGTGTGATTTTCATGTTCAAACATCATTTGATTAAATATTGAATTCATTGCACATGTCAACGTAAATACGTATGCATGTTTATATTTAGGTTATCGTTGTTGACTCATGCAAATCAAGTTGGCCTCTTCAACATTACTGTGTGTTTGCATTTGAAGTACATTTTACAGTTGACTGTATTAAAATGCCTGTATCCTTTTTTATTTTTTAAATAAAAGTGTGGGCTGTCTGGATATACAATTGAAATGCATAAACAGTTTGGTAGTATTCCCATTATATAAATTGTTCTGTCAGATTCTTGGTTTGATCCATTGGAGCTTGAAGATTTATGTATGTCAATAAAGTTGAATAAATCTCCTCTGACTGCAAGTAAAAAAGGGATTTCATTTTATCTATTATCATTAATTCTATTTGAAGGTTTTCCTTTATTGGATTTTTTTGATTACTTCCTGAGATAACTAACAATAAGCTTTTACTTTTATAAGTATTTCTCTTTTTATGTTAACCGCAAAATAATCACAATTAATAATTTTCTGTCAGGTTGTTAATTTAATTCACAGCTCACCATCTCTCGTGAATCCACCACCGTTTTGTGAGTATAGGCTTTGTTTCCTGTGTTACCATCACATTGCTAAAATAATTCATTTGTTTCAGATCTATATGCCATTACATGTTGTCTCTCTTTTTTCCAGCGTCTGTGGATGGGGTTTGTCTAACCTGGATTTTCTTCTCGTCTCTGTAACCTGCTCTTGCTTTGAGCCTCACCTCGACTCCGGTTGCCCAGGTAACAGCCCCTCAAAGACTGCATTGTTTCTAATGGCTGAATGGCTTTCTTACTTTCAGTGTGTTTGTCTCTGTGCTTGTTAGGAGCAGATATGCAGGTCAGACATGTCTTCCTCTGTGTATAATAGTATATGGCTTTGTGGAAGCAGGGAATATCAGTAAGTCAAATAGATAATGACAAGGGGAGAAGGAGCACGGTGAGAGGGTAAAGACAGCCCAAAATAAAACTCTTCAGACATATCTACGCACAAAGGCATTGCAACGTAGATAGCAATCTGTCACAAGATTTTGATGCACCGCTTAGATGCCTGCCGACTATCTTTTTTCATTATGAATTATGAAACATTTAACATGTAAAAAAGGTTGAATCGAGGTGTTGTTTTTATTGTAATATGAACCTACACTGTTGTGCGATGTGATACATCTGACTAACAGGAATATGAGCAACTGAAAATGGGCCTAGATATGACAAAAAGCATTTTAAAGGGAGACAAAAAACATATTAGGGCAAATTTGACTCGCCAGCTGAAATAACCCTCAACATGGCAGAACACACATCCCCAGTGAACAGTGTGACGTTATATAACTCACAGACCCACAGAGTACACGCTGAGAGTGGCTGACACAAGCAACAACTAAGATTACGATTTTCATACAGGAATAGAGAGAAACAGCTTTCTTTGAAACAAACAAATAAATATAGAAAATCTGAGTTTTTTTTTATATTTAGGCCATCGTATTTATAAAAAAGAACTAATAGTCTAGCGTTTGGTTTGCAGTAAACAATTTACAATGACAGTGACACAACAAATCATTGGGAAGCTGCAGCCTACAATTGCATTAATAATACGCCCAGTTTAGATGTACTCCCACTTCAGACTCCAGACATTTTCGACCAGTGGAGACAATGAAAATGTCCACCCAGGAGCAGCTTGTAACCATGACATTCCAGTGTGAATATGGTTTAGGATCTTTGTTGCTTCTCTCTCAAAAAATGTCTTGTTAACTTACTAAAATTGACAGAAAACTGCAATAAAAATATATATTTTTTAGAAATCATCTTTCAAAATTCCTAAAAGATTCCATGTTGTTAGGGTAGCACTTGTGTCCCACACTGCTTTTTTTCTATTTTGGGGTTCTGTGAGATCTCCCTTAATATTTAATGTACTGCATCAGCATCGCCCACACATGGTCCCAGACTCGCACGCAAACAAGAGCCCTGCCTCCTCTGCCAAACACATGAACCCAGACTTGCACGCAAACAAGAGCTCTGCCTCCACTGCCAAGCACACGTACCACCTACACTGTACACTAGCATTAAATGACTAAATGTAAATGCAGCTACTGTTCTCTGTCTTCTGATATAAACCGCTTTCCTCAATTCATTTCTGCTCCAAATGCAGCACAGCACTGGAGGCTATAATGCATTGAAGAGTAATCGTCTCCCAGTTATAACATGAGATATGCCACATTATATTTTATAATACACGTAGAATCACATTTTAAAAGTGATATTAAGACAGAAAATGACATTGTCAGCATCAAGATTTTGTTTTGGCACACAGAAAAGAGAAAGGGCGTGCTACATTTTAGGCTTATTGTAGGTTTAAATTCACGTGATGTATTTGTGTAAAAAAAGTACGACAATGATCTAGACAAAGTGAATCATGAATCCAAATAAACACTGAAGGAATCCACCTAGATATTTCTAACCAACAATGCTGATAATGATTTATCCTTCCTTTTCTCTAGTCCACTTTATGATGCATTATATCAAGATTTTTTGTCTGGAAGGCATGATTTAAAACTGAAAGCTAGACTGAAGTGTAAATGAGCCCTCTAAATAACACAGATTAGAGGATTATCTCAAACAAAGGGCATTAGCCACACTCTGCAGCTTAAGGGATCATGGTGGCAGCTGTAAAACAACAGGACGACAGGAGTCACAGCCCATGTCAGCCATGCACTGAGGCTCCATCCCATTCTCCGCTCTGCAGACTAAGAAGAAAATATTTCTAAAAGATTTCAGCTCTCTCAGTATGTGCTGCTTTGATGAGATTGGAGCAGACAACGTCAAAGGCTCAAGGAGACAAATCTGTCCTGCAAGTGCTTGTAGCATGCGGGGCGCTATCCAGCGTGCTGAAAAAGGGAGTGGCTTTCGGACGGTGTGCTGTGAGGCCAAAGAGGCCCGAGAATCAAGCAAAGACCATCGAGTCGTTTTATTTCGTTAACTTTGAAAACGTTTTCATTCGAGAAATTAAGGAATAAATTACTTGTGCGGATATTTAAATATGGCAGATGCAAAACATAATCCCTCGATTCCTCTTGTTTTTGTATTTAGCCCCCCTTTTTTTAAAGGGCAAGACTTGTAAGCTCTGCAGGCATTCATGAAGCGGAGCGCCTTTTTGCTGAATAAACGTATTGAAACGACCAAACAAAAGAGCCACCCGTTCCTCCTCTTCTGCCTCGCAGAGGCTATGGCAGCACTATGAATATTAATGTAAACAGTGGCGCTTTGTGTCGTGGCCAGGGGCTGCAGGACTCTCCGGGAACAATGACTGTTACAGTTGCCAGCCACAAGTCAAAAACGCCAGGATAGTTCAATAAAAGATGCTAAATTACAAGATATTTATTTGCTGATTTGATCGTTTTCCCTGATAAAATGAATAGCCTTTTTTTCAGTATTTTTTAAATCGAGATAACTGCCTTTACTCGGCGATTATACAGCGAATGTACACTATTATAAATAATGTCAGAGAAATCACAAGATGTTCGATTAATTGAAACCTTTTTGTGGTCATAATATTGAAAATGTATGATCAACATTTGTTACCTAAGAACACAACAGACTATTTTGCAGTCTCAGAGATAGATGGTTACATTCACTTCTTTCTTCCCTACAGGCTTTGTATTTGTTGCTGATAATTACATGAAGTCGTTGGCAACAGGAGTCAATTCACCGCTTACATAACATAATTACATTTAACGTCTCCTATAAGTTAGACAGGGCCATGTCTTCACTGTAAAAAATAATACTCCTTGAAGCCGTTTTATTGGTTTATATTGACAGAATATAAATGTCCTCTAACCTTTCAAATCATCAGCCATTACATATAATTCAATTTTTTTAATGCAACATCAAGTAACATTTAGACTGCTTTACAGTGATGGCCTCGGCTGCCCTTGTCCTTGAATTGTGTAAGTGCCTTGGATAGGTTATCTGACTCAACGCTTTTATTTGCTTGCCACTGCGGTACAGGCATGGAGGACTGCGGACATGTGGAGGGGAGCTACAGCTACCGTCGATGCTGTCTAGGCCTGCAGGGATTGTCCCTTGCAGGTAATGCACAACAAAGAGAACAAATAAAACTGGGAACGGAAATGTGTCAAGTGGACAGTCAGAGGCTCACAGATGATGAGTGTCGTCCACCCCCATTTTGCATATCTTTCCAAGGAATATTCAGACCATTTCAAATTCAGTGATGTGAGACTTTAAAGTTGTTTATGGGTCCAACTCCATCTCTCACATCCTGTTCCTACTATGTGTTAAATAATTAATCTTGTGTACTATTAGTCATAGACTGAACACCCTGACATTCTACCGTGTGTGGATATACTTCCAATTAATTCAATATTATAAAAAACTATTCTACTCAATAAGTTGAGGGATTTTACATGTTACACTTGAGGGGTTTTAACACCTGCTTGTGATTTTAAGGTTGGACCGAGGCTACATCTTTTTTTCCTGGCTTTTACAATTTAAATGCAAATGTGTCTTAATTACTCTGCTTGAATAAACAAATTGTGCTGTCAACCAGCATGTCAAGAGGTAAATCGGAGTGGGCCTTTTGAGGCTTCAAGGCCCTCGTTTGGTGCTTAAATCCAGCAGAGACACGCCCAATCCGGCCGTCGGCTCAGAGCAAAGCTAATTTATCACCGCTCACATCCCTTTCATCCGACACGCGCAACGCAAGCATGGCCATCTTGTACGTTTGCGATACTTGGAAGAAATGTGCTTAAAATGGAGATGTCTGTGCGCGTCCTTACTGTCACGGCCTCAGAGGTTTCCAGCTCATTTACTCGGTTGCATCGCAACGAGAACCCTGAGGAATTTGGACTTTGTCTGATTCAATGCAAACCAATGGATGCGTAATCTCCCTCCTCCCCCTCCCCCTCCCGGAGTGACTCGACCCTTTTTTCCTATGCCTTGCTGGATGGGCCCTCAGCCTCCGAGGCATCATGTTTTGTCTCAGAAAGCCGTCTCCAGCATCCTTGTGCTGCACCAGCAAAGAAAGCAAATCCTCCCCCACTGAACCCAGCGCCTCGTCGCCTCTCTCCATCACCATCACAGTAATCTTGCGGAATTCTTAAACCTCTATACTCCGGAAACATTTTTGCAAATATCATCAAAGCTTCGACATTTAAGCACTCGTATCGGCTGTGATACATAAACGTAAAAGCTGTGCTATCTAAAATGGCAGGATAACGACTTTATCCATCGCCCATGATGACTGCAGGCTGGAACGCAGCCGGCATGGCGCATCACTCGGTGTGAGATGTCTAATTGCCACTATCGATCGTTAATCTTATTATAAGAATACAGCATTGCATAAAGGACAAACACGTATTACGCTAATCTCAAAGATCCTCTATGTTTTGGCATGTGGGCATAGCCATGAAGCTCCGCTAAAAAGACATTTGTTTCCACAAGGAATATATCAATAGGCTAATAAGAAATACATCTGTGTATAGCTATATCTCACCACATTGCATTGCAGTTCAAAACACAACCATCATAAACACACAACGTAAGCATGCTGCCACAACAACCCTTTCACAAATATAAGAGAAGAGTAATACGTACAGTAACCATTCTTGACGTACAATGAAAGAATTCTAGGTCCTTCCTTCCACTGGTCTTGAAGCTGGATGCTGAGTCTTAATGTGTTCTTTGGCCTTTTTGTGTATTATATGGCCCTTCTGCCAGGAGTCCAAATGAAAAGAAAAAAAAGAAAAAAAGGAAAAAAATACAATCTTTGCCAGGGAATCTCAGCCCACTGAGATTGTAGGTGTCCTCTATAGGATGAAAATGAGGAGAAAGGGGTTTTCTACTGGATGATGATGAGGGAGAGTGTTCTCTCCGAGTGGCGTGGGCGATGGTTCAGAAAAAAGAGAAGCAGTGATCCTCAGCAGGGTGTGTCCAGGGGAGGGTGTTCTGGTTCTGCTGTTTTTATGTGTAATTCCCTGCTCCTCTTGCACTCTCCTTCTGTGCCTCTGCTGCAATGTTCTTCTTTTATGCGTCCTCCTGGCTGGCAGAGCGCGCTGCTGATTGGCTAATTGTGCAGGGAGGGTACTACATGGCAGCCATTGCAATGCGCTCCTCTCCCATTATCCCCTTCAGGAGAGATCACCAAGAGCCCCCCCTCCCCTATACCCTACCCTCCCCTCCCTCTTCCATCCCTGCCCTTCCATCTCTCCACTCCCTTTTTCTCGCTGCCCTTCCTTTCTTCCTGCCCCCCCCCTCTTCTCACACACACACACACACACACACACACACACACACACACACACACACACACACACACACACACACACACACACACACACACACAGAGCGCAGTGAATGGGGCTCCACCTGCACTTTGAGAACAGATGGGTGCAGCAGAAGATAGCAGACTTGTCTTTCTCATTCCCCACACTTTACACTCACTTCTCCCACAGCACAGCCCCTTCCTTTCTCTCGAATTCTCCATTTACGTTTCTGTCTGAAACCATAGCAAACAACTTCACTCCTTAGGTCTTTGTCTTTGCAAATAAAAGCTGTTTTGAGTGTAGATCGGCAGACTTTCTGAGTACACATTCTCGACTGACATTCACAGAATTGTAGCAATAGGAGTAAAGACGCAAACTATGCAATAATTGGATGGGAATTGTGGCTACAAACAAAGCATTTCATCCATAATGTGACTAATGGGTGGATGATTTCTGGACCTCTCATATGCAAGGCAGATGGCTAGCTATAGGGTCAGGTGCAGAAATGAGAATAACAAATGAGATACCCCCTGAATTCATTAATGTCTATTCAGTGAAAAGTTTAAAAAGGTGCAATTGTAGTTCTGACCAGGCTGCGCTGAATGATCTCTTTTCTTTTCTTTTTCAACAGAACTGTAGCCAGCAGTGATTTTTGTCTTATTTTACGACATCCCAATATCCCCTTCCTGAAGAGTCCTGGACCCTCTCGGCCCACCTCCTATACTGCTCCCTCCTGTGTGGTGAGTGCTCACTGAGACATGCTGTTTGGGCTCATCTATAATGCATCCCCCTGCCCCGGGACATCATGTGTGACAAATGACCTATTTCTGTGCAGACCCCCATAGGGCCTTGACCTGGGGGGGTGGGTGTGCGTGCGAGTGTGCGTAAATCAGTGTATGTTTGTTTATTTGTGTATGGGTCTATGGTTGCTGTTCATGAGAGGATGTAAAGGCTTTGTATGAAATGAACGTCTCCTATGCGTGTGTTTTCAATGTAAGTGGACACGCGGTGCTGATGTGAGTCCTCCTGCAACAACAATCAGTTCCTCTGCTCGCCTCTCCCTACCTGACCTTGAGGAGTCCTTAGACGTCTCTTGCTATAAGGACGGATGGTGCGAGGGAGGAAACGGTTTGCATTATTGACACCGACTACTTGCCTTTGATGGATATGTGGAGGAAGTCTAGACTCTATACTCAGATGGAGATAGAGAACAGGACATGCAAGAAACTAACTTCCTTTTACTGTAGGTTTCTTAATGTTTCCCCCCATCTTCAATCGCTCTTGTGTACCCCTCTTTCTTTCCGTCATTGTCCAGCAGCTCTCTTCCAGTCACATTCTGAACATGGGTCCTGTCTGATATTTTACATAATTGCCTTACATAAGTAGCAAGCTCGGCTCAAAGCTTGGATGATATTAGTGGAGATGAATATTGCATGAGGAAAGCACTTGTTAAGCGTTAATAAGAGGATAGAGATGGAGCCCCACTGTCAGTCTGTCTTAACCCCGCCCCCACCGTTCTGTCAAGCAGTGACTCAACTCAGCCTCGATGCGTTGGAGCCTTTGAGTCAGTTTGTTGAAGAGGGAGGAAGATTGTGTGTCTGTGTGTGTGTGTGTGTGTGTGTGTGTGTGTGTGTGTCAACGCATGTGTGTGTTTTTCTGCCGCTGTGTATGAACGTCTGAGAGGAGACGGCGAGATTTGGTCATTAGGTGCTTGTGTTTTTTGCCTCTTTGTTTGCTGAATAAAAGCAGCTCTTATTACACAAAGGCACCCAGGTTCGTCAACTGACTGCAGCCCCACTTACAGTTCACACTTAATGTGAATAAATGGGCTTAATTGTGGCCCCTCATTAGAGCCCCGGTTAGCAGCTCGGCAGCTGAATCCTCCCTGTGGGTAAGAGGGCATTTAAAGCGCCTATTGTACATAACTGAATCAAAGGATCAAGCATTGCTTTTCCTAAAAAGCCTTTTTGTTATTCTACTGATTATTTTCTTGTTGTTGAGGGTTCCTCCACTAGTGGTGATTAGGAGTCTTGTTGCAGTGGTCCTTTTCTCTTGGCATATCATGGAATGCTACTTGGTGCCAAAGGGATGAACTCTAAGCATTTACAAAATTAGTCCACTGGTTTTGACGTTAATCAAGCAGAACATACTAAACACTGCTAAATATGCAGTTATCATGGAAACTATAGTAGGAACAGAAACACAGCTATAGTAGGAACAGAAACAAAGCTATAGTAGGAACAGAAACACAGCTATAGTAGGAACAGAAACAAAGCTATAGTAGGAACATAAACAAAGCTATAGTAGGAACAGAAACAAAACTATAGTAGGAACAGAAACACAGCTATAGTAGGAACAGAAACAAAGCTATAGTAGGAACAGAAACACAACTATAGTAGGAACAGAAACAAAGCTATAGTAGGAACATAAACAAAGCTATAGTAGGAACATAAACAAAACTATAGTAGGAACATAAACAAAGCTATAGTAGGAACATAAACAAAGCTATAGTAGGAACAGAAACAAAGCTATAGTAGGAACAGAAACAAAGCTATAGTAGGAACATAAACAAAGCTATAGTAGGAACATAAACAAAACTATAGTAGGAACAGAAACAAAGCTATAGTAGGAACAGAAACACAACTATAGTAGGAACAGAAACAAAGCTATAGTAGGAACAGAAACACAACTATAGTAGGAACAGAAACAAAGCTATAGTAGGAACAGAAACACAGCTATAGTAGGAACATAAACAAAGCTATAGTAGGAACAGAAACAAAACTATAGTAGGAACAGAAACAAAGCTATAGTAGGAACAGAAACAAAACTATAGTAGGAACATAAACAAAGCTATAGTAGGAACAGAAACACAGCTATAGTAACGCATATTTTACATAGCATGTTCAATTAGCAGTAGTAATACTGTTTTATCTTTTCACTTATACAAGGACATCAACTATATGGCAGTATGTGAATTACAAATGTACTTTGTGTTGAATGTCTGCATGGTGAATATATTATGATCATTTGTAAATAGCAAAAACCCTTTGTGTCTAAATTCCTTAGCCTTTTCTGTTTCTCCACTTTCTATTCTTGTGATATTACGTTAAAAAGGGTGCCTGTTGCCATTGCCCTGCGGTAAGGTAGTGTGTGAGTTAGAAGGAGAGAGAGTGACACTACGACAGTGTGTGTGGGGGATGGGCAGGATGATTCAGCCTCAGGTCTGGTTAACTCGGTGGTCTCTGCTCTCCACCAGGCCTGGCTCGTGGCGTTTCAGGGCTCAGTGGCAGCAGCAGGGAAGCAGCCATTGCTTTCAGGAAGAGATCCAATATTAAATTAGCCTCTTTAAAAAAAAAAAAGGACATTTGTTGATTATGGCAACTGGCCTAATTCAACCCTTTATGTATTATTTGGCAATTTTCTTGTGGTCTCCCTCGTGGGTTCACTCTTACACTTTCTCTGTCTCTCTCCTCCCTTCCTCTATATCTTTCTCTCCCTCTGTCTGTCTGGATGTGTTGTCTCTGGGCTATTATTAGAGTAGACAGGCTGGTGGGAGGAAGTCTCTGAAGTAGACTCTCTTGTCATCTTTTTATTTATGGAATATATTCTGCTTTCCATGTGTCTCCTTTTAATTCACAATTGACAAATCTATCCTTTGTTTGTTTGTTTTCACTCCAGTGCGAGACGCGTTTCACCTTTTCAGGAAATGCTCCACATTCTTATTATCTGACTGAAGAATGAGTTGAGGTGCCGGTAAATATGAATACAATATATCTGTGCCACCTTTGTCGAGTGTGTCTTTATGGCTGGGTGAAGAAGGACTAACCTCCTTTACAGGGACCATGTTTTACTGAAAACCTTTTTAAATATAAAGCCATGGTTATTAATCTTTCATTTTGTCCTGTCTGAGCTGGTATCCAGGGAGAAACCTTAAATACACAAAGCTTTTAGACATTCTCTTTGTTTGTTTTTTCCTGCTCCTTTTCCTACTGCTGCTTTAATTCTATCTGACATGAACAAAACACACAAGTGACGAGACACAAAACGAAAGCAGAGATATAAGTGTGCCTGCCTGTTAATCAGAGCTGTTTTCAGCTTCATGAGCTGTGTAAATGGCCTGACTTTTAATGAACGATGAATAATATACAACACATTTCCTGCCTTAACCTAAATGTACTCTTTGAGCTTTCATGTCAAATATCTTCCGTTTTTATTCAACAAAGAATTAGACGAATATTAAATCGATAGCTTGGGCTGTATAAATGGAAAATGATAATGTTTCCCAGAGAAACTCACTGGTGTAGCCATTGCACTCTGTTTTCCACCCTCCATCTTCCTCCTCTCCTCTTTCAATCTCTTGCTCTCACTCCCTGTAGGCCATCTCCTTCTCCCCATCATAACCCTCCCTCGTTCAGTAATAGGAGACTTGAAATCAATAGCACATTAGTCTGGCCGGAAACTCTTGTGGAATTAAATATGAATGACTGAGATTGCAGCTACCTGCTGCTCAGAGAGACATGATGGCTCTTGGGGATATGGGTTTGAGTTTTTTGTTCCTTCCTCCAGCAAACAGTCAGTCCATTTTGTGCTGTTCTTACAGCTTACTGGATCACTGGGCTACCTCGTGCTGTCGGAGATCAGTGTGAAGCATTGTGGAGGTATTGTCTGGGTTGTCATTTTTTCCTCAGCGCTGAGCTGTGACCAGTCCGATTGCATGATTTGATAGAGCAAATGGGATCGTGGACGTCACAAAGCCGCGACAGCTCAGCAGGCAAGACGAATCAGCGGGCCACACCCATCCTGCAAACACAGCAGCAGCAACATTTAAATATGAAAGAGCTCTCTGGTTATTAACAGATTGCATCTCACTTTGTTTTTTCTTCAGTATTTCCCCCAAATAAAATATGTGCGGGCTGTTTCATTAAGCTTTAGGGTTCGCTGCTCTGCACATTCATTCGACAACTTTTTACATGCAAATGTCATTACTTGGTAGTCTTCCATTTTCATTAACTGGTTTGCTGTGTAAAGTGGAATCATTTTCTTTTACATGCTGTTTGGCTTAAAAGCATAATTTGTGAGGTGGTTGGAGAGTGCTATGTGCTTGGGAGGAAGGTAATGTGAGACAAAAAGCCAGTGCGTATGCTTCTGGTAATTGGTAGAGGCTCGGGCACCGGTAAGCGAATACACATAGATGATATAGAAGTAGATGTATTTGTGAGCTATATTTCATCCCATCAGAGATGAAACGGTTTGTGACAGATGGAGTGATATTGTTCTCCTGTTCGGCCCATGAGTGCGGGCCCCTCCTGCTTTCCCTCCCTGACAGATGTAGGGGGAGGACCACAGAGCACTCGTCTTTCTTTCAATTGATTTGGGTGCTTGAACCCTTAGGGACTGGAGGATGGTGGTGGGATGGGGGTAGTGGTAATGGTGATGGGGGTTTAGTCATTTCCTGCAGCACAGAACCTGTAAAAAGTATAAATCAAGTGCTGTAAAGAACCCATAAACATACTATATGCATATATCTGCATACATTGACAGATGAAGCATACTACAGTAATAGCAGCGTGCTCCGTGCACTGCACTCAGAGGAGCTGGAAGGGAACATTTCCATAAATCTTGGTTAGTGAGTGACGGCATAGCAGGCATCCATGCATGTAATGTAGGGAGAGGAGAGGAGAGAGTGTGCTGTGCATATTTGTAGCTAAACCTTAAGTGTTGCTGTACACGATACTATTGATTCTTCACAGTTTGTCAGCTAATAAGCATATAAATGCAACATATCTTTCTTAAGTCTGTATCTGATTAACACAATATATTGTTTTGTGGATGAAGAAGGGGGGGAATACCAAGAGGTATGGGTTTGAATCTTTTGTAGTAATTAAGCAGATTTAGCAATGATTACCTTTAGCCCCTAGCCCCCCACCCTGACTGGAGGACGACATTATGAGACGTAACAGCAGTCCTGTAGCAGATGTGTCCTGTTGCTAACCCTCTGTCCCTGGAGGGGAAAGGTCAATTCAGGGGTGGAGGTCGAAGCACAGATTCTCTTGAAGACGCAACGTGTTGATGATTTGAGAGATACAAACAAATGAGCATCTGCCTGCCCCTTGTATCAGGCACCACCACAGGACAGAGAGAATTAGCATTATTGATCACAATATTAACTTTGGTGTAATTCCTCCATCCTGTTTTAGGAGCAGCTGGAGTAGGAGGATATAGAATGACTTGTGATTTTTACATTTTAAAAGAAAATTATACGTTTTAGGAAACCATGAGTGGTTTTTCTAAACAGCTAATGCATGTGTATTCTTTTATTTATTTATTTGTAATTGTGTTTACTTTTTATCTAAAAGATAAAATGTGTGTTGGTGCTTTCTATTTAGGAGATAATGTTGTTAAAGTTTTTACTGCTGGCAGAGTGATGTCCTGGAAGCAGACCCCAGCAAAGAGTGGTTAATGATTTTAATAGGACTCCCTGGTGGGGCGGGATGGAGAGGGGCGGTGCCCTGGCCACGGGCGCGTGGCGGCGGAGCAGGTGGATGACGGGCAGCTGAGTAGTGGGGTCCAGGGGGAGGGGTGCCTCAATTTTGGAGGACTCTTGGGGTTGAGAGAAACCCTGAAAAAAGGCAACCCCATCTGGAACTGAGGTGGGGGCTCTGGTGTGAAAGAGATCTAGTGGGTGGTGTCTGACACTCTCTCTTTTGTTCTTCGGTAACACAGCAGTGATGGTGGTGGTGGGGGGGGGGCTCTCTCTGCTGTGGGGGCTGGGCACTCAAACAATAGTGCCGATAGGAATTGAAAGCCTTCGATGAACAGAAAGGCAAGGAAGCAGGCAGGGAAGGTGCAGACCGAAGGATAAAGCATGCATGGGTTCAGCCCCCTTATAGTAGGTGGGCTTCCAACTGTACAAGGACATTGCAATGTCAAACGATCACACAACACTGTGTATGTACACTGTGTACTTAAGTGTTCATAGCAAATAATTCGAAACATATTTATTCAGTTTAGTGGAATTGGAAATGTCTGAAAAGTAAATACATATCAATTTCCTGGAGAACAATAATATTGTGTTTTTAATTTTACAAAAATAAATCTGCTGAACATTGGAGAAGAATAGAAAGTAAAACAAATAAAGAAATGGTAGCATTGTGATAAAAGCATGCCTGTAAAAGGGGAGAGACGGTGAGTACAAGCTTCATTTATTTTCGTTAGCATTGTCTATGGACCAGACTCGTGCCGGCTGCGAGCTCTAATGCTGCTCTGACTGCTGCTGCATACATAAACATATATCCCTCAGACGCCTGTCGTTGCTCGGCTTCAGCCAAGCCCCTGTCACGCAAGGTTAATTTCTACCTCCATCTCCCCCATTTCCATTTTTCACATTCCTCGTATAGAATTCATGCCATTCATCAGCCATCTCACAGAGGACGGCCGAGTACCTGCAGCAGCTCTCCAGGGTGCTGAATAGGGCGACTGTGGGGTAGAAGGAGAGAGCAGTGGGGGAGGGCTGCTGCAGCAAGCACTGTTATATGAATTCCTCATAGTAGGCATGGGGGTATGGAGTGATTGCAGGCAGGGAGGAGGGGGATGAAGACCTGCCATCATAATAAACTGACAAGTCCTCCATTGGTGGGAAGACTCACTGACAATGTCATTCCTCATTTGCTCAAACATACAAGAAAGAGCCCGTCAAATAAACAGTTTCTGACATATTTGTTTAGCCTTCCTTAAAGAATCCAGAACCCTTTAATGGCTACTCATTTTTTTGTTTTGGAAGATGTTTTTTTGCAGTCACTGTTAGGCAGCGAGCCAGTAAACAAAGCTGCAGCTATTTCTCATCTTCTCGTAGAGGTCAAATTTGAGGACTGAATCTTAAACAATCACCGATGTGGCAAGGCTTTCTTTCTTCTCTAATCGTGGTAAACAGCGCCCCCTGCTGCTGGAGTTTCAGTACAACACGTCTCTAAAGATGATGATGTAGTGCAAGCTGACCTCTAGATGTTGCTATTGTGCAGTTTTTTTTCTAATGAGATTTAACTTGGCATCAACAATACATAAAGACGCCCTTGAGGGCTGAAGCTAACGGAAGAAATTTCCAATCCTGTTTGACTAAAATAGTACATTTCATGCCAGGCAGTCAAAGTCATGTTGTGCAAGTAAAGTAATCACATCTAGAGTAGGCTATGATCTCGTGAGAGAAACGGAGGGCTTGAAACATTTCTGTCCTGCTTCCTAAATTTAAACCAGTGAAACCCCTAAACTGAGGTGAATCAGCGACAGACAGTAGCAGGTTGCTGTAAACCGGTCAGGTGAGATTTCTGCATGAACAGACGGTGCATGAAGCCACCTGGAGCAAGCTGCATGTCAAATTAGTGGGGAAGCTAGTAAAACCGGAAGTACACTAAAGCGTCCCGGTGATATTTAATCTATATTACTGGAATACTTTGATAATTATATATTGTGCAAACAATGCATGCAATTAGTATTGAAGGTAAAAACATGATCCATTGTTTGATTGCGATGATAACTATCCTTGAACTATTATTGATTCTTTAAGAGACATTTTATAAAACTACATTTTTTTTTTTACTCAACCCCATATTTAGAGTTTTTTTTTATTTAAATCAAACTTGATTTTTTAAAAGTGTAACACATAATAAATGCTTTAAAGCTAAAATGTTGTCGCATATGTGTTATCTAAATTATTATTATAATTATTACATTAGAAGTAGGCTACTATTAATATTTATAACTTATGTTCTATGCTATTCTATTTTTTTCTGGTATCGAAAATTCTACATTATTATAACTTAATACAATAAAATCGACTTATGCATAGTATACAAATAAACCAAATAGCTGCTAAAAAAAAATCTCAATGCGTGACAGTAAACAGAACATTATAATAAATGCACATCTGAGTTTAGTTTGTACTTTATTTTGAAGTTTCACCGGATGTAGTGCATGTGTCCTTGCGGACTTGACACTAACGGCGGGTTTGGCTCCCAGCCGCTAGGAGGAACAGGGAGGATCCATGCCCGGTCCCAGCGTGGAGGAGGAAGCCGTCCGAGAAAGTCCGCATCCCCACACAAGACAAGACGGGACGTATTAGCCAAAGCAAAGGAGGAGAGTGATTTCAGTTGTCTTCGAAAAGCTTTACATGGGGGATAAGAAATGACATCTACCGCGAGCGAGAGGAGGGCGTTTGCTCATAAAATCAACCGGTGAGGCAGTAACAGAAGTTATTGTTTAACAGCTAACGCACAGTTGTGCCGTGAGAGTGACCTGCTGGACACATAGCCAGTTAGCTAGGATTTGAAAGGTATTAGTGAGTGACTATAAACCGGTCGGTTTAAGCACCACTGTACCTACCTGAAATAAAACATCTCCATTGAAGCAGTTTGCGCTCCCATATATTATCTCTGGCACTTTGAAGAGTTAAATAGCATGTTTTGTTTAAGTACCGTAGCGTAGCATCGCAGGAGCATTGTCATTAACAATGCATGAGCTAACGTTACTGCAGGATAGCATTGTGAAGCGGAGGGCTTATCTAATGTCCCAGATGTTTCATTGTGAGTTTTAAAACAAAGTAATATTAACTGCTTTACACTTAGCAACATGGTACCAACTACCAAGTGACATCCATTGTGATCTTTTGCTCGTATTTCGTGTGAACCCCTTGCAGCATTATTGTAGCAACCTGTTTCCACATGTTGTAAACTGGTTTTCCCTTCTCTGTAAGGGTTTAGTGCTGCATGGGATGATCCTCTAGTATGTGTCACTATACTTAATAAATATTGACAAGATTCCAGGAGAAGTCGTAAAGGCATGTCACATCTGTCAGCTGGATCTTTGAATAGCATGGGATAACAACAGTGGTAGTATTTGCAACCAAGTGCCTCCCTGCATGCTACACTAGCCCTTTTTCATGAATGAAGATCCTCCAAACTTTGATTTTCACCAGTGCTTGTCTGGGTTTTATATTTTTGAACCAAATCACCCTGTCGTCACAGTTCATCTAAATAAACAGCTTTGCCTTGCAAATCCAGATAGCTTCTCCAGAAAAGAAACAGGATGACAGATTCTTATCATTGACCTGCAAGTAAATTATTTTCTCACCAAAGTGAAAAACTTGCTGAAATCATGTCAGTACAGCGGTTCTTTATACTTTTGACCAGGCACCATCACAAGGGGGCTTTGTTTTGATTAGTATCCTGTCACCTTACCTGCTGATCGTCAATAACATGTCCTGTAGAGAAATGAGCTTCCTTGGACAGTCTCCCACTGCATTCCCAAAGTCCTGTCTGCCCTCCTTAGTGCGTCCCAGTCCATTGTTTTGTGCCGGATGCAGGAAAAGGGTGGGAAGGGGTGTTCAGGCTATTGCCCTTGCAGTCGGTAGCTTCCCTTTTTCCTGTCTTAAATCAAGGCTGCTCAATCTGTTTCCACATCGTTTAAGGATGCAGCGAGTGATTATATAATCATAACATTCCAAAGAGACTGATTTCAAATAATGCCACGTCAGAAAGTCTTGTTGTATCTCAGAGATTGGGGGAGAGGTCATTCATCTCTGCTTTACAGTCCATGTGTATTGATGGAATGACGGCATGAACTGTAGCTATGTAATCATGAGAACTATGGTTTGGGAAATGTTGAAGCCTTCGCAGCTGTGTATATGAGAGAGGCAGACATTATGTGGTTGTAAAGGAGCAGCTGTCTCTGTGAGAGGATTGTACTTTTTTTCTTTTTCCTGCTTTGTCTCTCTATAAGCCTCCCATTTGCCGTTGGTCCACAAAGGCCACGGACAGACCTCTGGCTCTGTGCCTGCTCCCTGGAGCCGGCTCGCCACCTCTCTGTGAGATCCGCTCGAGTCGCTGTTCAGAACAGCTGCTGGCCCTCCCTCACAGTACCAGAAGCTAAATAACTTCTGCTTTACAGTTTATAGAACTTTAGGACAGAATAGTATTTCATTCATGCAGATATCTGTACAATTAATTAATGCGGCCTAGTTTCTAATGCTGTGGTTTTATTTCTAAGATCCCTAAGTTGAGCATGCAAACATTGACATGATTATGACATTTCTGCATCAACTTAAATCAAATTACTTTATTTTGTATAAATCCTGAACAGCACAGATCTTGCCCATTATCAAAATTATTTACAGTTAATCTTCATGTCTGTACATGTGTGCCAGCTGACACTTCTCTCATCTCTTTCTCTTGCTCAGGACGGTGGCTGCAGAAGTCAGAAAACAAGTTTCCAGAGACTATGGCTCTCCTCAGCTGTCCAAGAAACGAGGCGCACACCAACCTGTGAGTCACCCTGTGTTTAACCTGCCAGCCGATTAAAGGACCAATTAGCAAGATCAGTAGTTGATAAGTAACTTGCTTATATTAAAGGGGACCTATCATGCAAAATACACTTTTGTACGTCTTTTATACATGAATATGTGTCCCCGGTGTTCCAGGGAACTCACCAAGTGTCAGAAAACACAACCCTCTCTATTTTCCTCCATACCCAAATCTCTAAAAAAGGGGCTGCAACGGATCTGATAAAAACTGATCCAGATTTGAACACTGTCCTGACGTCAGGACGGTGGCGCTACGGCTATTGGGCCAACTCCACCAATCAGGAGGAGACAGCCACGGCCATTGCCGTTCGAAAGCGCTGGAGACGCTGTAGTACATATGCCAGGCCTGTAGGTGGTGCTGTTCTCACATAATCAGCCCTTGCAAAAACAGGGCTAAAAAAGTGCAAATTGAGCGAAATGAGGCATGACTAAAATGCATGATCTGTTTGGTATTTTGAAAAAAAAAAATTATAAATATGCCTTATATAGGTATGGTCCTACACTATATTATTCAAATATAGCATGATAGGTCCACTTTAAGTTTAAGTTGAGATACAAGGAATCAGAATACCTTTATTCGTCCCACAGAGGGGACATTTACAAGGAGATCAGATGATTGTAGTTTTAGGTGTGCACAGGGTTTTGAAACATGATAGAGCTGCTTTTGCTCACTTGTGTTTTCTAACAGTCATGCAGGGGTTCTGCATGAAAGCCCACCCAAGAGAGAGTAAGGGGAAGTTATATAATAATCTTTGTTTTGGAAACACGTCTGTCGTTGCACAACATTACATGGATGACAGATAGTTTAGAATGAATACAGCAAAAATAAGTCGTTTCCTTCAAAATTAGGAATAATTGTTAAAAAACCCATATGATCCATCCTCACGGCATCCTGTCTCTTTCTACTTCTCCTTGTAAGTCCTTCTGATCTTGCTGATCAGATAATGATCTGTGATTATGGCCATGTCAATGTGAACCTAAAAGTCTAACCTTTATTGACAGTTGCCCCTGACGGAGGTGGTTGAGCCTGTGGACTTCGAGGAGTATGTGAGCAGTCACGCTCCGGGGGTGGAGCCCGGCCCGCTCAGGCAGCTCATGGAGTTCCCCCAGGACGACCTGGAGCTCCTCCCGCTGGACAAAGAGTGCATTACACTGGAGCCCCCACTGCCTGAGGAGGAAGAGTGAGTCCCACTAATGGCCAACCCAACCCTTGTACTGCATCATATCCCTTTATGGTCTTTATACTGCTCCACACACAGAGGATTAATATAACTTTTATGGAGGCAGGCATTACCAGAGATAAGAACAAAGCCTTTCTCTCTGAGACACTGAATGGACATAAATATTAAAAGCATGCTTTGCTCAATTATTAATGTGTTTTTCTCCTATGTAGCTCTCTAGATCCCAGAGTGAGAGATGCCTTGGCAGTCTACACAGATGACTGGCTCGTCATTCAAAGGAAGTAAGTGGTGCCAGCTGTAGTACCAGCTGACTTATCCTACAAGTACACGTTTCATCTACTTTTCCCAGTTCACTGTTCACATCATTGACAGTAACATTAATACAAGGGCAACTTTTCTTCTGATTTCCTTCAGATATCAGCGCTACAGCACCACGTACAGCCCTCAGAGCTCTGAGCGGCAGAGGGAGAGGCAGCGAGGGCTGCACAAACAGACCTTTGAGCTGGACGAGGCTGCTGCGGAGCGCCACGACGACCAGGTAGCTGGTGGAGATGTTCAAAGCACTTGTTATCGTGACCGCTGGAGATGTTCAAAGCACTTGTTATCGTGACCGCTGAGTGACCATTCACTCTTTTAAGGTTCATTAGACTTATCTACTTATCTCTACAGTGTTGCCAGGAGGAAAAGCTAAGAAGGCTTTAATATGCCCCTGAACTCCTATGATTTGGTACCTGGACCAAGAGATTTGTAGAATTGGGCCTTAGCTAGTTTTTATTTTCTTGTTTTTTAAATCAATTTAAATGGTCATTAGAATGTCCAAAACCCAAAAAGAAGTATGTTCTTCAAATGTTCTAAAATTCCAAAATGTTGTCTTTAAAAATAGTTTAAAAAACCGAATATAATCCGTTTAATATTATAACTATAGATAAAGCCGGAAATCTCCATATTTGAGAGGCTAAAAACATGACGTGAAACATTATCCAAACAAATAACCAATTATCAAAAAGTCTGTTCTTATTTTCTGTTGCTTGGTTGATCCATTACTTGACTAATGGTTGCAGCTCAGGTGGAGTGAAGCCAGTCAATAAAGCTTGTGTCTCATGATGGGGAAGGCAGTGTGAGTCGTATTGTGCTCAGCGAGTTGATCAAATGGAGAATGAGTAATGGATCAATGGAAATACCTTGTCCATTATCCATTCCACAGTCACCACATGAGTCATATTAAAGGGGTAAAAAGGTTATCAGATCTGTAGCATATTGTTCTCCTTGTGTTTCTAAATCATCTGCTGTGAGCACTTAGGTGACATATTTGCCTGGAAGGGGGAAAGAAAAACACATGATCTCACCTCTTTGTCTCTGTGTGCTTCAGGATGATGCAAAGCGGCGTTCAGTCAGCCTCGATGAGACTCCTCGGGGAAGCTGGGCCTCCAGTATTTTCGACTTGAAGAATTCCTCCCCAGACGCGATCCTGCCGTCTGTGCTGGAGCGAGCAGCCGCCGAGGACATGGACCGCCGCAATACTGAGGCCCGCCTGCAGGGGCGCCACAGCGACCTGCTGGGCCTCTACCCGCCCCCCGATGAGGTTCGAATTACACCATCCCATATCTACCTTTGTGCTAGTAAAAGCTATGTTATTGTCAAAAAACTGTGAATTTATAATATACAGAAGATACTTAAAGGTCACCTATTATGCAAAATCCACTTTTTCTTGTCTTTTATACATAAACATGTGTCCCCTCTGTGTAAAGAGATTCTGAAAGTTTCAGGAAAAAAGATTCACTCTCTTTTTGTCCTGATCCATTTCTATAAAAACCTGTCTGAAAATGAGCTGATCAGATTTTGGCCACTTTATGATGTCATAACGATTTTTTGGCTTGTGTAACCATTAGCCAATCACCAACCAAGGTAACACCCCCCCACCTTATCACCTGAATCTCCTCCTAGAGCACCATTGTGTTATTTTTAGAGGCGTGGGGAGTGGCTCCTTATTTTCATCTAAAGTAACAGACAGAGAATCAGCACTTTTGAAACAGGGCTGAAACAGAGGGGATTATGGGATGCTGCAATGCATGATCTGTTTGGTGTTTGGAGCCAAACACTTCAGAGACATGTTTTGTATATATCTGAGACCTATAATATATTGATGAAAAACAGTATAATAGGGGACCTTTAATGATTGCTAGTGTATATTAAAAATGATATTGCCTTTTATTTGGAGGTCCAATCAGTGTTGATATCAAAAATGTAGACGATTGAAGCGATAATCTCCTCAGTGCGTGTTTTATTATATTAATTAATCATCTCAGAGATTATTACTACAACCAGCAGGACTTGTTTGGAAATGTTGGTAGATTTAGTTTCCATTTGTTCAGCTCAGTCACATTATTGGATGTTCGCTTAAAGTGAAGGTTCATAATGTCTACAAACCCAGCAACTGTTTGCTTTTCTTCCCCCTCAATGTTCTCCTTTTCCAGCTCCATCCTTCTTCCTTTATATCTATGTACACACTTTGGCTTTCTCTGCCACTAGGTTGCCATGACATCTGTGTAAATGTCATGCCGGTGTGTGTGTATTGAACATGGCTCTTTGTGTGTGTGTGTGACAGGATGAAGCAGTAGAGAGATGCTCTGCCCCTGAAGTGCCCAAGGAACACTGTGGCCAGAGGATCATGGTTAAGTGTCTGTCTCTGAAGTGAGTAACATTTAGAATATATGTCTGAAATGATCATTATAATAAATCATATTATCATTATACCCACGATGCTCTCCAACTATATTTTTTCCGATTTTCAGGTTTGAAATTGAAATTGAGCCAATATTTGGAACACTTGCCCTGTATGACGTCAAGGAAAAGAAAAAGGTATTTTTTTTTTGTTCAAGCAGATCAGTTTTTATTTGATCATTATTCTACCAATTACTTTGACTCTGTAAAACCGCTTACGTAATGCTGAGCTCGTGCCTACCTAATTGAATTTCCCTTGTCTCAAGAAGCTCTAAGTGGTCTTGCGGTTTAGATGACTGAATTAAAACTGAATAAAAATCCCTTGACGTGCATTTCCATTATCCTCTTTCTCCCCCCCCCTCTCTGCTGTTTCCTGCTTATCTCCATCTTCCCTCCAACAGATCTCTGAGAATTTCTACTTCGACCTGAACTCAGATCAGATGAAAGGAATGCTTAAACCCCACACACCTCACGTAGCCATTTCCACACTGGCCCGTTCTGCCATTTTCTCCATCACCTACCCTTCGGCCGATATCTTCTTGGTCATTAAGGTACTGAGAGAACCTAATTGTAAACAGAAGAATATATTTGTATTACCTTGTTTGCATTTCATTTGGCATTTAAATGCTACCTAACTAAAGTCAAATATAAGCGTGTTATAAAAAAAAAATCTTGTTCATGGTTTAAAAACCGTCTTCTTGTATTTCAGCTTGAGAAAGTCCTTCAACAAGGAGACATTGGAGAATGCTGTGAACCCTACATGGTTATGAAAGAGTCTGATTCCTCCAAGGTAATGGAGCCAAAAAAATATTTATTTAAATTGTTGCAATGCTCAGGGCTGGCAGCCAACTTGCTCATCGGACCATTTTACTGTCTAGTCCAAAACCATTACCCAATTCTGTCTGGGAAGCTGCAATATTTACCATCTATTTTGGCAGGTCAACTCGGTTGAAAATATATTTTGATGTTTTTTTTATCATATTGTGTGTGCTCAGCACAAGGAGAAGCTGGAGAAGCTGCGTCTGCAGGCAGAACAGTCATGTAGTCGTCTCGGCCGTTTCCGCATGCCTTTCGCCTGGACGGCCATTCACCTGCTCAACATCGTCAGCAGTGTGGGGGGTCTGGATCGCTCGGACCCTGACTCCGACTCTGGTACTTAAAACACACCCTAGGTTTTACAGAATGTTCTAGCATGCAGGTACACAGAGCATTCATTTTACAGTGACAAAGCCCCGTAGCGGTCACATTCATGCACATGCCGCTTTAATGTGATGTTGTTTCCTCCTGCCAGAGCGAAAAGGCCACGGAACATGGAATGACAGAAAGAAAAAGGGGTGCGAGCGGATGAGTGTTGGGGACGACATGTGTAACTTTGCCACTTTCCGTCCAGCAACATTGACCGTCACCAACTTCTTCAAACAGGTCAGACTCTCTCATGACTCATTTAGTTGTTCATCTTGTCACAATTATCGCGACTGTGATGTTTGACTCTCAAATCACTTAAAGCTGAGTATTGTCACTTTTAACGACAACAAGGTGAGGCGCTAACAGCTACCAATCATTTATTACATGTATTTACATACCTCTTATATGTTTGACGACAGACCACTCAAGAATGGATGACTTTCAAAAAGACTGGGCACTTTTCCATTATAACATTTAAGGCGGATCACACAGCTTTTTATTATAGGATGTATCGTAAAATAAAGAAGTTCAGGCAATACTTTTTAAATTGTATGTTCCATTAGTGTTTTAAGATAAAATACACATTAGAAATTGAACCTACAATGTTCACAAATACTACAAGTAGTTAACATTGTAGTGAAGCACTGCTATTATAACTATGTAATGATGAGATTTATTTATTTGTTTGTGTCCATGAAGGAGGGGGACAGACTGAGTGATGAAGACCTCTACAAGTACCTGGCAGATATGCGCAGACCATCATCTGTTCTGAGACGACTGAGGCCCGTCACAGGTAAACGAGAGCATACTTAATATAACTGAAACGGATCATGAAAAGGCTTTATGGATGTTTTGTATAAACAGTCTCCTATCTTTTGTCCCTCAGCCCAGTTGAAGATCGACATCTCCCCCGCTCCGGACTCGCCTCACTACTGTCTGTCCCCGGAGCTGCTGCACGTGAAGCCGTACCCCGACCTGCGTGTGCGCCCGACCAAAGACGTGCTGGAGTTCCCTGCTCGCTACGTATACACCCCTCACACAACCTATAGGTGAGTGTGTTCAACTTAAACACACACAAACATGTTTACTCAAACTTTGCTTAAGTTGACCCGTAGAACAAATATACTTTCACCCCTCCATCACATGCATGTGTTTGTCGAGGTATTGATTTGTCCAGATTGATTTCTTCTGCCTCTCCTTTTCAAACTTAAAAACAAAAATACACATTTATTTTCTTTGGTGAAACAGAATGTTTAATCATTTAGAAAAACTTCATTTGATAGGCTCCATTTAAAAACAAAGATTACTAGTGCATCAAAGTCAAGACTAAGAACAGACACAAACGGAGAAAGCGGCAACAACAAGCACATAATCACAAGAGTACTAACACAAATGTTTTCTGGCATTAGAGTTGATCTTTCGCACACATTGCAGGCTTGGAAGGGAGTGCAGTGTAGTCTGGGAGACTTCAGTAGTGAATGTTAAAGTCTATGTTTTAGCTTCACTCTGAAAGAAGAAAATGAAACATACATTTAACCAAATATAAACAACAAACGTTCAAAAGACTTAACAAGTGACTCACCATCATCTTTAGTTTGGAGAGCTGCTCATTCTGAGTCTCAATGTTCTCTTTCTGGAACTGGGTCCAATGCTGTAAACCTATCAAGGTGTTGGATTGCTCCTCTGCTCTCTTCTGAAAACGGCAATATAGTAAAGGGAACTTATTCAGTAACAAATCAGTGACTGGTGTTTAAATACTTCTGGTCGCCTTGTGCTTTTACAAGACTAAAAACAAGTACAGGTTGGTGTGACGGTGAAGTAAGGCTGCAAAAGCATTGAAAATGAATCCTGGTTTTGGCTTCATACAATAAAAATGTAAGGGCTTATATTGATAGAGCAGGATATTTTAATGTGAAAGTGTAATACATGTTGTCCCTAAAATAATTACAATAAATAATCATAATCTCAACAATGATCCAAAATGATCATAATTGAGTCTATAATCGTGCAGCCCCCACAGTGAGAGTGTGTCTTTTATCTCTACGTTCCAGCGCTCTGTTACCTGCAGCTCTTTGATGCTGATGCTGATGCTGGTGTTGAGAAACATCTCCAGCTTCTTCACTTTAGTTTGGAGCTCCACCTCTTGCTGCTCCACGCTGGCCAGCAAGTCTTTAGTCATCTTGGTCTGAGCCTGTTGCTTGGCCATCTGGGCCTGTCAAAGGAGCATCTGCACATATTATCCTCGTCCCCAAACAACCATCCCAGTGCAGCTGGCAGCTCTCTAATGACACCCTCACTCTCTTATCTCAGATGAAAGAGCTTCATTGATCCATATACATCAGGGAAAAGGAAAAGAGTCGGATGCCTACAGTAACTAAGAACAGCTGCATTAGTGTTTTATGTAGACATAGAATAGATCTGCTTTGGTATGTCTATTCAACATTTTCTTTCTCTGTAATCTGTCTGCGATTTTACATTCTCTACATATTGTGTCTATCCCCTCTGCTCCTGCACGTTAGATCTGCAGTTTGATAGTCAGCGATTATCTCTCCTGCAATAACACAAGCAGCACCCGAAGAATCTGTTGTTTACATATTTGGGTGTTTTCTTACCTGTAGCGACTCTATGGCTGCTTTTATCTGTCTCTCCACCTCCGCAGCCTGCTCAGTCTGCCTATTCAGCTTTTCTAGAGTCCCCTCATGGCTCCTCAAAGTCTGTCTGATTTTCACTATCTTCGCCTCGGTGGTTTCATGAACATAGTTGAGCGATTCGCTGAACTGTAAGATGCCGAACAGGAGAATATTGGCTTCTTCCTTCGGCGCAGCGTTGTCCTTCACCTCGCTGGTCGTCCTCCTGACCGGAGCTGCGTGGACTGCTCTCAAACCCTCGGCCAAAAATAGCAGGCACAGACCCCAGATAATCTTCATGACGGCAGTCACAAACTCACTGCGGTCTAATGTCTGTTTCACTGTTTCGGTTCAATGCGTACTTCTCTGTCGCAGCTGTGCAGATGTTAGCATCATCAGGATCCCCAGTGGATGATGAGTTCGGAGGGTGGTCAGTGCGCCTTATATTGTATGTCTACATGCAATACCATAGTGAAACATTAGCTCAGCTGGGGTTTAATCCCAGGTCTTGTCTGTGGCCTTAGTCCCAGTAACCCGGCCTGCTTTTAACCCCTGAGAGACACATTTAGTCATTCAGGTCGCGAACACACGTGAAATACATAAATATAAATCTGGTTTTCTTGTGTTTGATACAGAACATGTATAATCATAATCTGCGCTGTACATTTATGAAGTTATTTTAAAGTTATGTGATTTTGTGGTGTGTCATTGCCTCTTGACAAGTGAATAAACACTGCTGTTTAAATAAAATATGAACAAATGTTACCTCTTTATGTTTGCCTTGGACAGTAGTTATGGTTCATTTCACTTAGCCAATACAGGGTCACACTTTCCCCTCGTGTGCACACATGGATATCTTATCTTTTTATTTTCTAATAAATGCTTTTGTAGGTTTTCAGGAATGATTGAAACAGAATCAGAGAACATAACAAGATCCAACTAGGGTGTGAAACTGCCTACATCTTAGTATATTATGTTATTTTATGATTGTCATTTGATGTCATTAACCAAAAAAATAAGTTCCTTTAACTCCTTCATGGATTTGCTGTCTTTTTATTAAATTCTGTCCTTGTTGTCTTGCTCATTTTCTGCCTTTTATTATTTTGACTTTCAGGAATCTCCTCTATGTTTACCCACAAAGTCTGAACTTCAGCAGTCGTCAGGGGTCCGTGAGAAACATCGCTGTGAAGGTTCAGTTCATGGCCGCAGAGGACCCAAGTCAAGCTCTGCAGGTGAGTCACACTCAGTATAAAGAAGCTCCAGTCACAAAGGGCAGCTTGCGGCAGTGTAATAGTATACGATGGTTTATTGGAAGAGTGAGCTTCTTCAAAGGGGCATTTATCCGAGCACAGAGGGAAAGAAAACTTAGTGATCTTTTTTGTTTATGAACTCTTTGTTTATTGAATTTCAAATGGTTGATTCACACTAAGCATTACTGGCTTAAAGTAACATTGTTTGTTTCTTGTAACCTGATTGGATGTTTGACATTCACTATGCAGAATCATCTAAATGCAGTCTAAGACTAGAAGGCTTTCAGTTTTTGAGAAGAAACAATATTTTATTTTTTTTAAGAAATCACATTTGTGCCGTTAAACTGAACCATATGAGTATTAAAGGTGGGGTAGGTAAGTTTGAGAAACCAGCTCGAGATCGCTAGAATTTGAAAATACACAACCGGAGAAAATCTGCCACTTCCTTATAGAGCCCCTCCGCCAACACACACGAACGCGCACATGACCAATGAGGGCACAAGATAAGTTTGTGCACAGATGGAAGGCTGACAGGCAGGTAGGCCATCCAATCATTTTAGCCGGGCCGGCTAAAATGATTGGTCGTGCTTTTTACAGTACTACGGCTTCCACAGATGACATTTTGTTATGGATTTTTTGTCAAAGCACTTAAGATATTCATTGCTATCGGGATGTTAAGAGCATTCCATGGAATATAACAAAAAGTGTATCTCGAGCCGGTTTCTTACCTACCCCACCTTTAAAATGTAAGGTCTGAAGAGAAATAGCTTAAACAATTAGTCGATAGCATGAAAAGTAATTGGCAATTGGCTATTTTGATTATCGATTCATCCGTTTTATGAATCATTTCAGTCATTGTTCAGGCAGAAATAGTGAAACGATTTTAATATTGTCTGATTCCAGCCTCATGAGAGGGTTTTCCTGGCTTTACATAATTCATCGTTCTGAGCTCAATATGTTCCGCTATTTTGTCTTTTGCTTTAACGTCAAGTTTTGCTCTGTGAAATTGTAATGGCTATTTTTCACAGCCTAAATGGTTATCAGTTAAAGGTGGGGTAGGTAAGTTTGAGAAACCGGCTCGATATACACTTTTGTTATATTCCATGGAATGCTCTTAACATCCCGATAGCAATGAATATCTTAAGTGCTTTGACAAAAAATCCATAAAAAAATGTCATCTGTGGAAGCCGTAGTACTGTAAAAAGCACGACCAATCATTTTAGCCGACCCGGCTAAACTTATCTCGTGCCCTCATTGGTCATGTGCGCGTTCGTGTGTGTTGGAGGAGGGGCTCTATAAGGAAGTGGCAGATTTTTTCCGGTTGTGTATTTTCAAATTCTAGCGCACTCGAGCTGGTTTCTCCAAAATTACCTACCCCACCTTTAATTTAAAAATATTTGTGGCAGTAGAGTCGATCTTGAAAATAATCAGTATTTGCAGCCCTAGGTTAAACACATCTCTAGAGGGAAACTTAAAAACAGTTTGTTTTTGTTGACAGTGTAAGTCTTTGAATGATCCATAAGGATCCATAAGGATACTCATGTCAAAGGATATCCTCCTATTTGTCAAGGAGAAACTAAATGTACACTCTGCTGTTTGACCAGGTCATCTTTGGGAAGTCCAGTAGTTCCGAGTTCATGCAGGATGCGTACACTCCCATCATCTACCATAACAAGTAAGGCCCCGTCTTCTGCTGACCTTCACTGCACTGGAGTCTGTCCAACTTGCCTTTAACATTGTGTTTAACTCTTGCCAACAGATCTCCTGAGTTCTATGAGGAGATAAAGATGAAGATTCCTGCCAATCTAACAGACAACCACCATCTCCTGTTCACCTTCTACCACATCAGCTGCCAAACCAAACTGAACACCCCCCTGGAGACGCCTGTGGGCTACACTGTGAGTACACTCCTCACCCACACACTTGCTCGTTTGCTCGCTCCTTCTTTTGTCTCGCCATCGGTGATTGATCGCGTGTCTCTCTGTCTGCCTGCAGTGGATCCCTCTGATGCAGCATGGCCGACTGCGCACCGGCTCCTTCAGTCTGCCTGTGTCTGTGGAGAAGCCCCCGCCCAGCTACTCTGTACTCACCCCTGACGTGAGTGTGTTGAAAGAGACGATGTGTATATCAGTCAGCCTGTCATTACCTTCTCCTGTTGTGATGGGACTGAGTGTTAACTGAGTTGGATGTCACTCTGCGGCAGGTCCAGCTCCCAGGCATGAAGTGGGTGGATAACCACAAAGGAGTGTTCAATGTGGAGGTGACGGCCGCCTCCTCGGTCCACACTCAGGTACACACGTGCTTTCTATGCTTAAGTTTCTCTTTCACATGTATATAACAACAGAGTGGATCATTAAAGGTCCATCTTCTTCTTCTATCTTCTACTTGGTATTCTCCCACTTTTAAAAAGCCTTTTGTAAATAGGTAAGTGTCAGGGGACGTCCTGAAAATTATATTATAATTATTTATTATAGCCTCCCTAGTTTTCATTTATTGTTAATTAAATATGACACATTTTTATATAGAGTGATAAATAATACATATTTATTGTGTACTAGTGTATTACACGTCTGTAGCCCTACATATACATCCAGCAGTGTATAATTATAACAATAATAATTATAATGATAATAATACAGTTTGATTGTATCAGAATACCTATATATAATAATAATAATTTAGATTTATATAGCGCCTTTCAAGAAACCCAAGGACGCTTTACAATGGGAGATAGAATACATAAGTAATAATAATCACACAGACACACACATATATATATATACATAATATATGCTATGCTGCTTTTAATTGAACTATTCATATCTTAAACTGCACTGTAACTTTTTATTCATGTATTTTTTCTTTTAATGTTTCTTTTATTATCTTTTCTTCTTAATGACTGTTTTGAAATGCCTTTGTCTGAATGTCTTTCATTTTTGTAAAGCACCTTGAATTGCCTTGTGTTGAAAGGTGCTATATAAATAAACTTGCCTTGCCTTGCTATATATATATATATATATATATATATATATATATATATATATATATATATATATATATATATAGCACCTTGCATACAATAAATGCAGCTCTCAGTGCTTTAAAGAGAGAAAAAAACAGGAAACGCATTGAGAGATAATAAAGAATACATCTCAGTATTGCAGAGGGGAAAAAGATATTTAAAAGATCAGCTAATAAATGTTGCTCGAAGAAGGTTTTTAAGTCTTGTGTAAACATTTCCAGAGCCATCTCTCTAATCTCTCTGGGTTTGGCATATCCCAAAGTGTCTCTTTAGTGGGGTTTAGAGTGACTAGAAAAACAGAAGTGGAGGATCTAATGGCTCGTGAAGGAACATAAGACAACAGGGAGTCTGTGGTGTAGGCGAAGCTGAGCTTTGTATTCAAGTTGAAGGACTTTAAAATCAATTCTAGAAGAAGCAGGGAGCCTATACTGCACGTATTACATCACCGAGTTCAAGTGATACTTAATATTCATTCTGCTGTTCACTCTAGGACCCCCACCTGGATAAGTTCTTCACTCTAGTGTATGTTCTGGAGGAGTACTCGTTCCCCTTCCGCCTGAAGGACGTCATCATTACCGAGGCAAACATGGAGGGGGAGCTGAAGGCCAGCATGTCTGCCCTGAGAGGGGCTCTGCTGGATACCTGTGTCAGGTTCCTGCACCAGCTGCTCAACAAGCTCATTCAGCTCATCGTCTACCCACCGGTCATCGCGGGCCAAATCGGTGAGTGAGTTCTGCCATTTAAGATCTGAAGTGCACTTCCCAGAGCGACGCTGAAATGCTAATTTTGATCATTTGAGTGGATAATGTGATGACGATTAACTGCTACTTCCAAGGGACATAAGAGGACTGGAGCACACTGATTGATTTTCAACCTTTAATTGTGCAAACAGACTAAAGTTTCAACACTACTGTGCATCCTGTTTCCAATAATACATTTGACTGTTATTGAAGATAACAAGACTATGAATTGTTTATGTATTTATCTATTAAATGCTCTGTTCTAACATCCACAGGCAATACAAATGGCTTTGAGGCAAAGGCCACAAAAACAAGATAAAAAAAAAAAAACAGAAATAGTCATTAAATAAAAAAGTAAGACGTACTTGTGCCTAAAAATATCGCCTTTCCGCCTTATTTTGATTTATTTTGATTCATAATCAATGTCTTTGCAAGTTAAGAAAAAAAATGTATTTTACTTATACTTATGCATCCTTAGCTTTCTTATTTTCAGCTACATAGAAACACTAAAAGACATGGTATATGCTCGGGCCAATATCATACTTTTTTTTTATTACAACATCAAATAGTGGTAATGATCAAATAGAGTAAAGTGAACCTTCTCCGCAGTGAACCTTGGCCGGGCTTCCTTCGAAGCGATATCTCTGTTGGTCAACCAGATCCACAAGAACCTGGAGGGGAACCAGGACCAGCACGGCCGCAACAACCTGCTGTCGTCCTACATCCACTACTGCTTCCGCCTGCCGACCGCCGAACCTCCAATACCCGCAACGGGTGAGTCCGCTATCTGAGGAGGTGAAAGAGCCTCTCACTGCCCCACATGCACACTTTAGATCGGGCACATGGCAGTTGACTCGTTAATATTTCACCATGTAACATTTCTATTCGTCCATCTCCATGAGTAGCTGGCAAGCAGGCCTACGACATACCGATGCAGTATGCCACCTTATCGAGAGTGACAGCCCGGCCGAGCAGCCTCCACCTGGCCCGCTCCAAGAGCATCAGCAACTCCAACCCCGACCTGGCCAGCACTCCGGTGTCTCCTGACGAGGAGGTGCAGAGGATCATCGGGAGCAAGGTGAGCTGCACCCTGCTGTTCTCATAAGAGCTGTACAACTGTTGTGTGTTCTTATCTAATAAATACTTCACCCTCAAAACCAGATCAATTGTATAACTAAGTCACCGTGAATTATTCTTGAAAGCCTCCAAGGTGGACAAAGAGTCTCTTCACGCGACACGTGCCGTATAATCCAAGTCTCATTTATCCAGTTGTATGCTCACTACTTCCCAAACACGTGCATTTTTGTTAAAATATTTAGCACAACAGACGCATTTCCATTTACTACAATTCCTGAAGAATTCTCTCCATTTTTGAGTCTTTGTTCAATGAATAGGCATGCAAGACAAATAATTCAAGGCAACACAGGGCGGGTAATTGTTACACAAATGGTCATTTTGGGGCGAAGTTTTCCTTCAGAGTTGTTTTTCTCAAGTCCTTCGGGCAGTTAAATACTTCATTTACAGATTTAAAGTTTTACATTTTGCATGTTTTGCTCTAAAAGTCTGTTATGTATTTGCTCTCTGCCTTGTGTTCTCATAGGGGTTTATTGTTTATTGTGCACATTACTTTCATTTGCTAAGTGTGTAATATATGTGGGTGTTTTGTATTATGAATCTCCATCTTGTTCTATCCCTAGTACATTTAGAAAAGATACAACATCAAAAAATGAAAGTGTGTGTTTTCATGGTTCCCAGGTGACATATCCCCACACAGGGTTCATGTGTTTGCAATATCAGTCTGTCAATTTGTTTCTTAGACAGTGTTTCACAGTCACTGCAGATTGAATACGCTTAGGTTGACTGATATCTCTGTGCCCACAGTTAATGATGCTGCTTATGTAATTATTCTTTGTGCCTCCTGTTACATTCAGTACCTCCAGCCCTCCCTTTGATTCCACCCCCCCTTGCTTTCTTTGCTAATTCAAGCTTCACTTCTCTACACTCCGTGACCCTTATTTGTCTCTTACCGATGTTATCCCTTGAGTAATCTTGTTTATAAATGACCTCCCTTTACTCACTGTGCCCTTGCCTCCTGCCGCACTCTGTGTGTGTGTGTTGTGTGTGTTCCTGGTGGCTTTCGGCAGGGCATTGACCGCTCCCACTCCTGGGTAAACTCTGCTTATGCCCCCGGGGGCTCCAGATCTGTGCTGCGCCGAAACCCCAACTCCAGCTGTGAGCTCAAGCAGGTGCCAAATCCCTCCTCTTCCTCCTCTTCCTCCTCTCCTTCACCTCCTACTCACCACCTCCATCCTGTTCCATCTCTGATCAACTCTCGCGGGTCATTCCTTACCTCAGTGTTTCTGTCTGCCTCTCACTCTGCTAGCCTCCTATCACACATGTTGCATCTCGTCTGTCTTTCCCAATTCATCCTCTCACCGCCAACTAACAGACCATATCTGTTGGGTTTGAGAGACATAATCTCTGCCTGTGGCTCTTACCAGAGATTATAAAGAGTTCTCTGCCCACCCATCAATTTCCATTCATCCATTTTCACGTCACTTTGTCCTCATCTCCGTGGCTTCACCTCACCACCACTCCATGTCAGGCAAGCGACCGCAGCTGCAATCGCATGTCTGCCTTTCTGGACAGCGTGGCCTTGTTTTCAGTTCCCCCAAGGCAGATTACCAAGAAGGTAAAGCTGACATCTACCATGACAAACTGTAAAAGTTACATTTTTCACATCAAACTAACCCATTTTGAAGTCCTAACTTTCATCAACTTTCCCTGTCATGAACATTCATCGTCATTCATGACATTTTAACAATTGTCTCTTTCTGTAAGTTGGTGTGATTTATGTTTGTTGATACATTGAATATTTCATATGCTCAGTCTCTGGTAGATTTACTAATAAATGAGTTACATTTATTTTTACTACCACACATTTAACATTTTACCAACATTTTACACAAAACACTTATTGCTTTTAATTTTAAATATTATTTACCTGAATTATGGATTTGATTAACAATTAAGAAACACAAACACACACCACTGTAATCTTAAAACGCATCTATTATATTAGAAAATGCGCTCATGTAAGCTAAACTGGTCTCCATGTTGGTCCATGTGCAGCTGCTCCATGAGGAGCTGTCACTGCAGTGGGTGGTGAGCACCAGCACGGTGAGGGAGGCAGCGCTTCAGCAGGCCTGGTTCTTCTTCCAGCTTATGGTGAGTATGGCTTTGTAGAACTGTATTCATCTGACACCACTTTCTTAAGAGACAAAACTCAAAATGCTACTACACACCTTTACTACTTGAGGAACCATTGTAATAGCAGGATAGTTAATATTCTCATTGAGTGACTGTTTCCATATACTCCCTCTCTTTTAGACAAAGAGCATGTCCCACCACTTGTTCCTGACCTCCAAGTTGGACGTTGCCCGGCGTCAGCGTTTCCCTGACCGCTTTGTGGACGACGTCGCTGCACTTGTGTGTGCCATCAGTGCAGACATCGCCAATCGATACCACAAGGTACCCCAAATCCCACAAGCCAAACCACAAGCAGTTCAAGAAATTAACTGATAAAAGTCCATGTTTGTTAATGAACAAAATGTTGAATTATTAAAGATGGCCAGATGGTGTGTAAAAGTTCTTAACCAATAGAAAGTAGCCTTATCTCTTAAGCATGCTCAATCTTCATTGGTTTCAGTGATTTTAATAACCCAATCTTACAGAAAATGTCTGTTTTTCTTTTTATATATATCATACAGTATCTTCCCTTTTATTTAATCATATGTACTCTTGCTCACTCTTGTCCACACTTGTCTCTCCCCCTCCCTCTCCCCCTCTCTCTCTCAGGATGTGGAGCTTGTGGAGAGGTTGAATAGCAGTCTGGCTTTTTTCCTGAATGACCTGCTGTCTCTCATGGACCGGGGCTTTGTGTTCAACCTCATCCGCTCCTACTACAAACAGGTGCTCCTCTCCCTGTTTTCCTTTGATATCAAACACTTTAAATCCTAATGCTCCCGGGCACATTTGATACTGTTTTAAACAAATTGGTGTGTTAAACAGATTGCCAACAAGCTTCACACGGCGCAGAACCCCAGCTCTCTGATTGCCCTGAGGGTGGACTTCACTCGCATCGTGTGCAGCCACGAGCACTACGTCATCCTCAACCTGCCGTGCTCCACTCTCAGCCCCCCAGCCTCCCCCTCCCCCTCCACCTCCTCCACCACCTCACAGGTACTAAAGCGGGCGGGAAAACACAATATATCTGATTTAAGTTGCTTTAATATACTTTTTTTTTTTTACATTGAAAGCTTCTATTGACCTTTTTCAAAAGAAGCTTTGTATGTCTGTCGTCATATTTTATGATGTCATCACTCCGAAACACCTCAACAAAATCCTTATTTTTTTAGTTTTATAATCTGAATGTGAAAGTTATGAATGTTACTTTAAGCTATTTGATTAAGCCCTATTATTTTGTGTATACTTCTTTCCTTCAACCTCATCTCACTCTGTATCCTCAGAGTTCAGCGTTTTCCAGTATGGTGCAGGACCAGGGTGTGGCCACCATGTTTGAGCTCTCCGTCCCTTTCCGCCAGCAGCACTTCCTGTCTGGCCTGATGCTTACTGAACTCTCCCTCATCCTTGATCCTGAAGGAGAAGGGTAGGTTCTTACTGGTTACACTATATAAGAATCAGGAGTTTCATTCAGTTCCCCTTTAGGGATCAACAAAGTGTGAACTTTAAAATGAAACACAGTACTGCTCACAGCGAGGAACCAACAAATATGCTGATATTCTCTTTTCTTACCAACAGGGTGTTTTTCCTTCATAAAAAGGCCATTAGTGCTGTTCACTCCCTGCTGTGCAGCCATGATGCAGACCCCCGTTACACCGACCCTCAGGTCAGAGCCCACATCGCTCAGCTCTACCTGCCACTCGTCCCCATCGTCATGGAGACGTTCCATCAGCTCCACGACTTCTCTGGTAAGCACAACATATATGCCACCCACCGATATTGTCGTTATGGCGATGCACCTCCTCCGCACATTTATTTCATTTGAAAAAATGTTTCCAGTATTTATTGAGTGCTTTTCTCGTTTTCTTCCTAGACTCCTCGCCTGCTCGGGGGCGCCATAGCACAGCCCACGCCGACGATACTGACCCAGACAGCGGTAGCACTATCAGTCAGTCTGTTGCCATGGCGATTGCCGGCTCCCCTTTGCCGCATGTCAAAGCCAACCCGTTTGCGCTGCCCACAGCGGTGAGTGATAGCGGCGGGGGTCAGGCTGCCCCCCCGGCCCTACAGGCTGACCTCTGAGTGGGAGGCTGCTGCTCAGCAGACACCACTCTGGCCTTTCTGTAACTCCAAGCAGACGTTCAGCGTTTGCATTCTCTCATGTTATTGTTCTTTTCTACAATGTTATTACAACTGCTCCTCTAAGCCTGTAGATGGCTCTCTGTTCCTTTCCTCACTGTAAACAGCCATTTTGTTCTGAGGCGGATTAAAAGACTGGCTCTGAGTTTGTGTATTTTTCTCCACCAGGCTGGGCGCCAGTCCAGCTCTCTGTCTGCCGAGTGCAGCAGGACTCTGCTGGTGAGCTTCCTGTGGGTGCTGAAGAATGCAGATGCTGCTCTCCTGGAGCGCTGGGTGTCGGATCTGTCTGTGCTGCAAATCAACCGCCTGCTGGACCTGCTGCATCTCTGTGTCTCCTGCTTTGAATACAAGGTACAATAACCATGCTGTGTCACTACTATAGAGTCTTTATCATTTATACAATCAAAAAAAGTGAAAACCAGGTGCTCAATTTGGACGTCCCAGAGCTGCTTCACATTATTACAATTATGTCAGTAGCAGTTTAAAAAAAGTAGCTTATGTTGATTTATTACTAGTGCGGTGTTCTCTTGTTTTTTTTGTAGTTTATAACTGTTCATGAATTGAGTCTTACTGAAGTGAATACAAATGTTGCCCCCTCTTATTTTTACTGGAGTTTTAGATTTAATTGAAATATGTTTTTTATATTTTCCCTGATTTGTTTTTGTGTGATTTTTGTAGGGGAAAAAGGCTCTGGAGAGAATCAACAGCCTGACGTTTAAAAAGTCCCAGGACATGAAGGCCCGACTGGAGGAGGCCATTCTGGGCACCATCGGGGCTCGTCAGGAGATGGTCCGCCGCTGCAGAGGTCAGTAGCATGAGAGCGCGGTAATGTGTGACAGGGTGTAGCTTCTTGTTATTTATATATTTGTGTTAATCGATGTATATAATGTGTTTACTTTTCTAGAAAGGAGTCCCTACGGCAGTCAGGAGAACGTTCGGTGGCGGAAGAATGTCACGCACTGGAGACAAAATACAGACAGAGTCGATAAGTATGTTTACATTCATTTATTTAGTGATTACAATTTAAATCATAAACGTGGTATACCATGCTGTCTCTTCTTCTAAATAGTGTCTGAATGTTACACTGATGGTTGTGAAATAACACCTCTTACAGGACTAAAGCTGAGATGGAGCAGGAGTCAGTGGTGGATGGAAACTTAGCGACAGAGGCCTCTCTGGTAGTACTGGACACTCTGGAGATTGTTGTCAAGGTAAACCAATCATCAACTCACGCCCACCCGTACAGTAATGTCCACTACTGTGTAGAAATGTCTTGCTGTAATTTGTGGTGTCTCTCTGTCAGACTGTGGTGGCCTCGGAGCTGAAGGAGAGTGTTCTGGGTGGAGTGCTGAGAGTGCTCCTCCACAGCATGGCAGGCAACCAGAGCGCCCTCTTCCTGCAGCACTGCTTCACTACACAGAGGGCTCTGGTCTTCAAGGTACATCATGCAAACATTTCTCTATTATATTTAGTTAGTTAGTGTTTAGCAATCTGATGTCAATGTAGCTTAAATATTGTCAAAAGTTACGCACTTTCACATTTCCCTTTTTACATTGTTCTCCTTCCTTGTTAAGAATCTAACACCAACTGACACATTTTAACACTATTTAAGGAAAACAACTACATTATTTCAGGTGTATATTTTACTTATATGCATATCTTTTATTTTATTGCATTCCAAAATAAATATTCCTTTATGTTATACGTTTTAAAGCTCTACTGTTCAAGTTTACAAACAACCTAACATTTTATTTTCTCGTTTAAATCTAATACAGTACAATATCCTTTATCTACTTAAACTTAGATATCCCTCATGCACGCACTGATTTTGGCAGGAAATGTTTCTATACACCTTTTTTTTAATGAAATGAGCCGCACATATCCCTAAACCAACAATTCTACATTCCCCTTAAAGATTTTAAAGCTTTACTATCCAGTGTTTTCTTGTGATGCTTTTGACTGTTTTGTGTAGTTGTGAATGTTTCTTTTTCTGCTGTCTCTCTTGGAAAAGAGACCTTGATGTCAATGAGACTGACTATAATACATTTAATAATACATTGTATACAAGATGAAAGTGTGTTTGTGTGTGTAGTTCCCAGAGATGCTGTTTGAGGAGGACACGGAGCTCTGTGCCGACCTGTGCCTGCGTCTCCTCCGTCACTGCGGCAGCAGCGTCGGCTCGGTCCGAAGTCACGCCTCCGCCTCTCTGTACCTGCTCATGAGGCAGAACTTTGAGATAGGAAATGTAAGTCTGGACACTGTCTTTGCATCGTTGACCATCTTTCTTTAATATTCTTGTAATAATCGGGGACATGTCAGTAAAACAAAATGGATGTAATGGACTGTACTGGATGTTTGAGGATTAGATGCTTTGTAAATACTGAGTCACGCTCTTTCCTAACTTCCCCCTTTTACCAGAACTTCGCTAGAGTGAAGATGCAAGTCACAATGTCCCTGTCGTCTCTGGTGGGAACGTCGCAAAACTTCAACGAGGATCATCTTCGTCATTCGCTCAAGACGATCCTGACGTATGCTGAGGAGGACCTGGAGCTGCGAGACACGCCTTTCCCAGAGCAGGCATGTAACGCTTCTGTGAAAAAGTGTAATCAGGAACAGCAAAGATGGATTAGACTTATATACTAATGTGCTGTGTTGCTCTTTTGAAACTGCAGGTCCAGGATCTGGTGTTCAACCTGCACATGATTCTTACTGACACTGTAAAAATGAAAGAGCATCAGCAGGATCCAGAGATGCTCATTGACCTGATGTACAGGTACAGGAACGCACATGAATACGGCTTGCAAACAACAAGAAAGTGTCTCAAATAAAGACTCTGATATTTGACTGTTTTTCTTTTCCCAGGATCGCAAAGGGCTACCAGAACTCCCCTGACCTGCGCCTGACGTGGCTCCAGAACATGGCGGGGAAACACTCTGAGAGAGGGAACCACGCTGAGGCGGCCCACTGTCTGGTCCACAGCGCAGCGCTGGTGGCAGAATACCTCAACATGCTGGAGGACTGCCGCTACCTGCCCATCGGATGTGTCACCTTTCAGGTCAGTGCACGCTGTTGGAGGCTCACTCTCCTTACAGCAGTACGGCAGAATGAGATAGAAAGTGGAAACCAAGACTCAAGCCTGCAATTGTTTAAAAGTGCAAATATGATATTTTATATAAAACAAAAAGATTCAGGATTGTAAGATAGACATAATTTTCATTTTTTGTGTGTAAAAAAAGTCAGTCTTGTGTATCATGATGGAAATCAAATTAAATAACACTAATTTATTATAGCCGCAAATCACAAGAAATGCCTCAAAGGGCTGTACAAAGCAAAGACAAAAACAAAATACAAACGTCATAGCATTAAAATTATAAAAACATTATACATCAACATAAATATTGCCATGTGACTGAAGTGATGGTAATGTAGATGGAAACTAGGTGATGGAAATTAGTTTACAAGGAAGACAGATGCGAAGAGATTTTGAGTTTGCTTTGAAAGGAGTCCACGGAAAAAGCTTCGCGGATCTGAAATGGAAGACGATGTATTTATAACATTATTGTTCATGACAGGATGGATGGATTTTATAACAGAATGGGAACTTGTTGGATTTTCCCCTTAAGCAGCAGCTGATGATTTAATGGCCCACCTGTTAGCAATCAAGCACAAAGGGAATCTGATAAAGCAAAATGCGTGCTTGCTCCCTTATTGATTTTAAATGTAAAAGGTTATTCAAATATTATCTATCTTAGTATCCTGGACTTTGATTTATTTTGTGTAACCTGCTGCCACCCGGGAAAGAGGCACTGCTGTGAATGGGTCACTTCAGTTCTCTGTATGTATAAGACTGTATTTCTTTTCTTCTCACTTCTCGATTTTTTCCCTCAGAATATTTCCTCGAACGTATTGGAAGAGTCAGCTGTGTCCGATGACGTCCTGTCTCCAGAGGAGGAGGGGATTTGTGCTGGGAAGTACTTCAGTGAGTCCGGCCTGGTGGGCCTCCTGGAGCAAGCAGCTGCCTCTTTCAACATGGTACGACTCGTATTCTCCGACCACATGGGGACAGACTGTTGCAACATCAACATGGCTGAAGGAGTGTTGGGCGCAATGTTTGAAACTGGCTTTCTGTTGTGCTGTAACCCCAGGCCGCCATGTACGAGGCCATAAATGAAGTATACAAGATTCTGCTGCCCATCCATGAAGCCAACAGGGACTTCAAAAAGCTGGCGACTGTCCACGGGAAGCTGCAGGATGCCTTCAACAAAGTCTACAACCAAGTGAGTTGACCTGAAATCACCAGCAAAAACTGCCCTCTGAGTGTTTATGAGAAAATATACTTCATTCTGGATTCCATCTTATGTATCTTTTCTTTTTTTCACTTTTTCAGAGTTCGGGATGGGAGGTAACATGTTCATTTGTTATTAAGAATATTACATGTGAGGTCAAATTGTTTCAGAAATTCATTTTTTTCTGTTCTGACAATCTTTTCTTTCTTTCTTATTGCTGGTCCTCTTCTCTCCGGTGACATGTTACTGGTGAGTGGTTTTCACTTTGACATTTCTCAAGCCCCTCTTACACGGTTTCCATCTCTTTTCCCCCCGCCTTACTGTTGTGAAATAATTCTTAGTCTAGATATATATTTTCTCTTTGTCTTACTAAAGTAGTTTTTTTTCACTCAGTTTACATATTTCAACTTTAAAATAATCTTATCTCGTATCCTGTCTTCAGTGTTTAGAGAATGTTTGGGACCTACTTCCGGGTGGGTTTCTATGGCTGCCGGTTTGGAGACCTGGATGAACAGGAGTTTGTCTACAAGGAGCCATCCATCACCAAATTAGCCGAGATCTCCCACAGACTCGAGGCATGTAAACTACTCGAACAAAGGTGTCAATAATGATTAATGAGAATCATATCTCTAAAGATGAATCCTTTTAATACACAGGAGTTCTACGCAGAGAGGTACGGGGATGACGTAGTTGAAATTATCAAGGACTCCAACCCAGTGGACAAAAACAAACTGGATCCCAACAAGGTAGGATTACACGTACATTAAGTGACTGATAATAAATCAATACAGAATTGGCAAAAGTTGTAATTGTGTTGTTGGTTGTTGTTTCAGGCCTACCTCCAGATCACCTACGTCGAGCCCTTCTTCGACACATACGAGCTAAAGGAAAGAATCACGTACTTTGACAAGAACTACAACCTGCGTACTTTCATGTACTGTACTCCCTTCACTCTGGACGGCCGGGCCCACGGAGACCTGAACGAGCAGTACAAACGCAAAAGCATCCTCACAACGTCTCACGCGTTCCCTTACATCAAGACACGCATCAACGTTATCCACAAGGAGGAGGTGTGTGTCTCGGCTCTTTGTGTCATGTTTCCATGCAACTAAACTGCAAAGATCATCACCTATTTTGTCCTTGATTACAACGTAGTTTTAAACTTGCGGTAAATGTTGTTGAAATTGAAAGATAAAATGCAAAAAAACTCCCTGATTAGGTATTGAACAAATATGATGTTTTGCCTTTAAATTAATACATTTATTTTTGAAGTTACAGACAAGTAAATAAAATAAAATGGTTGTATGGGAACTCACATTTTTAGCAAACTAAGCTGCTGTTTTAGGGAAATATTTGGTCTGCTGTTATATGGATGTAGTGCATGGGGGGAAAAGAAGTCAACTATTTCTGTCTCTTTTGTTCTCCAGATCATTCTTGTCCCCATGGAGGTGGCCATTGAGGACATGCAGAAGAAGACTCAGGAGCTCGCCTTCGCTACAAACCAGGACCCTGCAGACGCCAAGATGCTGCAGATGGTGCTGCAGGGCTCTGTGGGCACCACCGTCAACCAGGTGCCTGCTTAAGTGCTTCACTCATGACGTATAACTGTAATGCATTTAACATGTCAAAATCCCACATCCTCCTGAAATATTAATCCCATCCAAAACTGTGTTGAGAGTCTGGGACATTCCTGAGCAGAGATGTAACCGTCTCTCCTTCACAGGGCCCCCTGGAGGTGGCGCAGGTCTTTCTCTCCGACATTCCTGATGACCCAAAGCTGTTCCGTCATCACAACAAGCTGCGCCTCTGCTTTAAAGACTTCACAAAGAGGTGATGACACACTCCACGTCCCAGACGCAGACTGCTGTGTACCTAATAAAAACAAACCCCAACACCCCATGTGTCCTCTGCTCTTTTTCGTGCAGGTGTGAGGATGCCCTGAGGAAGAATAAATCGCTGATTGGGTCGGATCAGAAGGAGTACCACAGAGAGATGGAGAGGAATTACAATAAACTGAAAGAATCTCTGGGTCCTCTCATCAACCGCAAGATCCCCCAGCTATACAGGAGCCTGCCAGCTCAGACTACGCAAGCACAACGGTAACTTGAGACACGTGCACACACACACACACACACACACACACACACACACACGCGCCCACGCCCACGTACAGAAAGACACAATATGAGCTCATGCTGCTCCTCAAATCCATCTGACCAACACAAGAGTAACTTAAAACCAAAATGCATCATACCCCAGGTCATAGGCTGATAGAATCTGTGTTTTTGCACACACAATGCAGGGACTGAAAACTGTCACATTTCTCCAAGAATGTGCAATCACTTTTATAAGAAAGTTTGCAAAGTATTGCAGCCTGTTTGACTATGGAAACTATCACCATATGTTTTCATCTGCTTTTGGCACCAGCTCTGTGTTTGCATGTGAGGGCCCGAGGACTGCTGCTTCATAATCAAAAACAGAGCTCCAGCCAACAGCACCTGCCAGAGAGATGCTTTCAAACTGAGGACAAATGAGTATCTGACAATCAGTTTCTCAATGTTAGATTGTATGTTACACATTATAATGTGTATAACAGAAAGATACTTTTCACAACTATCTCTCCCTGGGTAGGATTTTGTCTCTCAAATGAACTAATCATAAATAATTCAAGAATCACACAAATTACACCTCTATGGATTTAGTAGATTTTCCGATTTCCTTTTTATCAAAATGAAGTAATCATGTTTGTTCTTGCGTTTCTCTCGCAGGAACTCCTACAGTAGGTCCAGTCTCCGCAGAGTGGACTGTTGAGGCCCGCCAACTGGACAACAACAGAAAAAACAAAAAAAGATTTATAAATTAGCCTCCTCTCGTCCCGTCTGTTCCCCCTCCCCCCACTGTATGGCTCACCAACTGTCACAAGCACACGCGCCGCCCTCTCCCTCGTCCAGCTCGTTATTTTAAGGCCCACCCAGACACGCCATAATCCCCCCCCCCCATCCTCCCCAGCACTGCCACCACACACACACTTGTCACCTCTCTCCCTGCTAAGCCATCTCCCCCGTCACCGGCACTCTCACACCTCTGTAGGAGAAAACCTCGGATGTTTATTCTGGAAGGGTATCTGCACTGTAAACATCGACATGTGGAGCGAGTCTCCGACATGTCAGTGTTTTTAAACCAAGCTTTCAGAAGAAGTCTCCTTACAGTAATCTCTCTGAGCTTGATCTGCTTTTAACTTAAGTTTTTACAGGACATGCGTTGCCAAACACATTTTGCATCCAAATCGTTTGGGGGTTTGTGCATGTTTTCCTTTTGCTTCTTGTGTTTGCTTTCGAAGACGCTGTGCTTCGTCTGTCTTGTGTCTTGGCCTTATTTCATTAAGAAGAGTTTTTTTCTAAACTATGCCTGGTTGAAGTCACTGCCAGACTTTGGTTATTAAATAGTCCCAGGGAGTTTTCTTTTGTTGTCAACAGACCAAATAACTGACATTCCTCATTCCTCAAGATGTCACATTTATCTGCCTATCGCTCGTTATAAGAATTCATTAAAGAGCAGAGCCGGGCTCCTTCGCTGCCAGCTCAGGTCTCAGTCCCAGCCTGAACTGTCCTAGCAATTTTAGGAGGGAAGGGATATTTAAATGTTTTTAAAACTGTGAAATTCTCTTGTAATGCACTGCAGTCACATCAGATGTTTATCACAGAAGCAGGCCATCTCCTTCGCCCACACATATGTCTAAACTGTGACATGTTATTATCCCACTACAGTACAGACTGATAACTGAATACATTTTGTATTTAATGCTGTCCAAAGGAACTTCAAATGTCTCATATGTGTCCAACACCCCGGTTGTGGCACATTTATATTCATTGTAGCTATTTCCAACTACTGTATCTATTATATTGCACTATTGTAAACAAACTGCAGCACATTAACACTGTAACTACTAAAATGTCCGTGCTTTTGTTATTTTACAAGGCTGGAAACTGTTTTTTTTACCAATTAGATCAACTTTTTTTATTTATTTACAATGTCTTTTTTCTACTGCTTTCTATTAAATGTTTCTTCCAATGCCTCAGGTCTTTTATTTGTGTGGGCTACAGAGCTGAAGAATAGACAGTGAAAAATATGTAATATTACCTTTAACAGCCAAAAGAGACTCAATACTATTAGTAAGTATTATTTATTTTGTCGGTCAAAATTTGTTTTTCTGTGAAATTGTTTTTTATGATATGTTTTTATTTTATATTCTGGCGTATACAGTATTTCAGTGGTTAGGATATTGTATATTTAAACACAAAACAAAGCAAAACAAAAAGGATATGACAGACTCAGACTAACAATAGCATCACCCAAAAATACAAAGTACTAAATAAACACAGAGGTTAATAAAACAAACACTTTCCCGTTCCTGTATCTTACTCAATCTTAAACACTTTTAAACACTCGTATCTTCATGTAACTATTTTAGTGAAGGTAGTTACATTTAGTTCTTGCTACCTGTCTTGACTCTTATTTGTAGGTTAAAGAGTTATTGTCGGAGTCAAAAACTTGCATTTTCTATTTCTATTCCTAGTACAGGACTGCTTCAGCGTTTGCGTTTATGCTTTGTTATCAGGAACTCTAACCACCTGCTGTACCTCTGTGGTGAATGACCTGCAGTTAACTCTCTGATAGAACAGCTGTACGTGCTTTGTGATTGACTGATTGGTGATTTTACTGTAGTTCTTGGTAGACTTTAAAACATGCAACCTGAAAACCTCAGCTCTCGGAGCCCTCTGCTAAATCACAGTGCTTTACGTCCACACAGTCCTACACTATTTGTGTTACACGGTTGGAAAAAACGCGGCCAAGATGTATGTGATCCAGATGTCCTCCTGGCTCTCCTTTTCCATAGCATTAGTCTTCATTTCCTGTGGCGGTAGGATGATCCACATTATAGCCTGCAATGTTTGTGTCATTTACCAGAATAAAGGGCAATGCATTAATAATCGGGTACTTTACAAAGACTTGCGATGGCTCAGTCAATAATCAGACCTGAGGACCGAAAGCTTTACACATTAGAAAGTCACTCGATACTCAGCACTGTGGTTGTTGTGGGAAAGTTTATGAAAATCATACTGTGAATATTGACTTTTAAACTGGATCCATAAAGCTTTGTTACCGTCTAAATGGATAGGAAAATATTCTGGAGGTGTTGCTCCTTCATATCGTATTTCCTGCAACTATGAAAAACATTCATATGTTTTGAATTTTTGTTCTGTGTATATGTCTGTTTTTGTTTTATTAATTTGCTTTAGGTACTCGTACTTGCTTAAAGGTGTTGTACTTGATGTTTCCCTGCTGGCCTCTTCAGACATCCTAAGTGTCTGGCAGGTCCCTCCACTGATCTCGACGGAGGCTCTTTGACTTCCCCTGCGTCAGGAAGGTCGTTCATATACAAAGAACTTGAAGGGTCAGGAGATCAAGCACTGTGTTTAACTTTTAGGTAGTTACATCATTAAACATGTATTTGTCAGCTTTAGTTACTTTACAAACTACAGTTTAGACAATCTATACTCTGTTAGAGAGGTGGTCTCCACCAATGTGGGAATGTTATTGACCCTTTATTTTTTGCAAGTGTATGAAGAAGCATGGGCCCTTGAAGGTAAATGAGGGATTCCAGTTGACCCCTGTGAGAGGATGGAGCTACAGTGTGAGGAGAAGGATGATGGAGGTTCAGTGAGATGAGAGATGATGGAGCTATAGTGTGCGGAGAAAGATGATGGAGCTACAGTGTGAGGAGAAGGATGATGGAGGTTCAGTAAGACGATGGAGCTACAGTGAGATAATGAAGCTACAGTGAGATGATGGAGCTATAGTGTGCGGAGAAAGATGATGGAGCTACAGTGTGATGAGAAGGGTGATGGCGGTACAGTGAGATGAGAGTTGACGGAGCTACAATGAGATGATGGAGGTACAGTGAGAGTCCATCAGCCTCCAGTGTGAGCTCCCTGCTCGGCCTCGTGGTCGCTGGCCCTTTAAGAGCAGCGGGAGGGGGGGTTTTGGGGCGCGGAGCGTCTTGGCTGCAGTGTTTTTGTCTCTGTCAGTGAGCGCTCCTGGGCCGAGGCGGCTGAAAGGGTTTCCAGAGGACAGGTAAGAACAACTCATAAGTTACACTTCCTCTGTTTGAAACGTGCTTTGCCCTCTCTCTGACGGACTGTTATTTTAATGCGTTCCGGAGGGGCGCCTTGTTGTGAGAGCGACTTCTTTGTAAAGCGTCGGTCCTGCCCAATCCCCCGGTACTCTCTCTGCGAAGTAACGGCTCCTTTATCCTCTAAACCAGTCATTCAATTGATTTTACTTTATGCAGTCCGGATTAATTAGCTTCCATGATGTCACATGAGTGTTTCTCCGCCTTTTGATGAATGTTAAACTGAGTCTTGTTTTCGCTCCTGCTCCGGTGCGTGCCTTTTTGTTCAGAGCATCACCGGAGGCTCTGCACGGCGGCGAGGAGCGCTGTTAATGCGAAATACGCTGGTTCTAAAATAAAAATAATGATTATTATATCGTAGAAATGAATATTAAAACTGTTCAAATGTAATGAGAGTTAGCAGTGGTCTTAATGAAATGGGTTTTATTATTATTATTATTATTGTATAGGATAATGTCTCTACAAAATCTGTGCATTTTAGTCGTGTTACATTTGCCATTTATAGTCTGCATTGTAAAGTCAAATTGAGGGGATCACAACTTTGGTCCAAATTGCTTAGCAGGAGTTTCAGAGAGCTTACAGTTTGCAAAATATTTCCATACAGTCTCTCCATTTCTGAGCGAGCAACACATTTGGGTGTTTGTGTCAGTCTGTCTGTCCTTCATTACGAAACTTTCCCAATTCCTCACACATGATCTGTTGCAGAAATCTAACCATTTTCTAATTTCGTTAAACCAAAAAAGAAAAGCTCAATGAAGACTTAAGACTCAGGGGAGAGGGTGGGTCCGTGCTTTCTGCAAGTTTTCATTACTTCCAGATGTTCGTCAGCTTTTCGTTGCCGCTTCTTGCCCTCAAAATTGCTCCTCTCGCCTCCTGGAGCCGGCCAGTTGTCACTGAGGGAAATGTGTACAACTTAATTAGTTGTTAATGAAATTGAATCTCAGCTGAGCATGAGGAGAGTAAACACACCTCAAACTCTCTTTAACTGCTTTTGTGGTTTTCAGATAATGCCAAAGCTACTAGCACTCTCCTGATGATGGCCCTCATTGAATCCCCTTAATAAACTCATAATGCTATGCAATCTGAATATTATATTGTCTAACGTAAATATGCAGGATTGTTTGTCTTATAATGACTCATACACTATGTGATGGGATGTCTCTTGGTATGTGTGGTACACTGCTCTGGTTCATCAGTAAACACATCAGATGTTGTGATGATGAAGAAGGACACACAGAAGTTGGCAGGATGTGGGGGTGCAGTCATCAGCCTGTTACTCTGCATCATACACACAATACACCACTGTCCCGCTGCTGTTGTGTAATGGGCTGCTGGCCGTATTAAATCACCTACCAGCGAATAGAGAAAGATTATAGCAGCTGCATGGCACTCAGACAGCTCTGAGCTGTCATGCATGCCATTAAACCAGCTTTGTCTGTCTCCAATATTGAGTCTAATATGTTGTTAGCTGCGCAAATTAGTTTTAACCAGGTGCACCTAATAAACAGGCAAGTGAATATCTCCCTATTGTTTTGAGATCTTGCGTCTGTCGTACAATAACAGTGAAAACTGTCTCATCCTCGTGTCTGGGGACCTCCATGAATGCCATCAGAGACCCCTCGGAGCCCCCAGAATGCAGTCAGTGAATCTCTGGTCAGGTTTTTGGGCAGCTGGAGTTTCCTTCGGGATTCTTTTTTTTTTTACCAAGATGGAATGTGATTGTCTCATTACAGCTTCTAGACCCAGGGGTGCTGTTGAGGAATGCAGAGTTATAAACCCCATTTGCACACTGGGCCACACGCCGGGAATTTCAAATGGTTTAGTGAGTCTAATGAAATTACACTCTCAACCTGCATGACAGTGCCTGTCATTGTGATCTTCCACTGATAGGCATCCCAGACGGATTTACTGCTTGATGAATGAACTCTTCTGTTAAAACACTGCTAACTATTAGTGAACATTTACTTCACTGGAAAAGTGAAAGTTAGCCATTTTAAATATCTGCGCCATTGTTAACAGGCCTTTTCAGTGAATACATACTGTATGCATGTGCATGTAAGTCCTGTCTTTGATTTGTGTTGAACATGCAAAAAAGGATTCTCTATTGTCGACAGAGTACGACAATAGAGAATTGTTTGGTCTATAAAATGTCAGAAATTAGTCAAAAATTCCCATCCCAGTTTCTCAAAGTCCAAGATGATGTCTTTAGATGTCTTATTTTCTCAGTCCAAAACTTGACCAAAGATATTAGATATTCAGTTCAATATGATTTATAACAGAAAAAAGCAGGAATATTACAGAATATTCTATATTTTACATTTTTTGCATGAAAAATGTGTTGGTGATGATTCTCCTTCTCTAAGACAACACATTTTATGATGATTAAACCCAATGTTCTTAGTTGTATTAGAGTTGAATTAGACTAAAGTAGGGATAAACATTATTTTGCAAAAGTACCATCAGTCTGATTTGATCAATAAAGAGGGTTAATACTCCTACTTAACTTTATTACTTGGGGCAGCCATTACTGAACATATGGTCTAGAGTTGCTTTTGAGGTACTTTACAAGGGACTGTGATTATCTTCCCAAATAATCTCCCATGATCTCCTCGAACACATTAATCGCTCAGAAAACAAGATGGTAATTTCTGTCCACTAAAACATACAAACGTGTTGGAAAAGTCAGTGTTATGGATGTTTTTTCTGGCCTCTTTTATTATCTTTATGTCTGCAGTCTTTTAATCAACAACTCTCATTGAACCAGGAAGTAATTGATGAATACCCTGAGAGGGAAACACTTATCAACGTCACCGCTGCAGTAAGGTTACTTCCTGTGCTCAGTACCACAACAAACGCTGACCTGAGCTTTCACCCCAGCACTGCTCCGACCGGCTCCCCACCACCCGTCTCACTGCCATCTGGACTTTGTCTCCCCCCCTCCAGACCCCACAGTTCCCTCAGAACAGTGCAGCGATCAGGCCTCTCTGCTCGGCATCATTTTTAATCCCCCACCTCCGCAACGGCCCAGGAATTTTCTCCCAAATGCCCTTTTATTCTAGTGTCTTTTTTTCCGGAGCCGCTCCTTGCCGTTCAGCCCCACCCATGCTCAGTTTCCTGTTGGAGGTCAGCACAATGACCAATAGCAGACTGGCGGGTGTTTACTCTGCTCCTGTTCCAGGAGTAATGGGAGCCAGCCGGCCCCTCCTCTTGGCCGTACGCGAGCCAGACTGCTGGGTCTGTGGCGTCTGCTCCTCCATACCACCAGTCTTAATGTAAAAAACAGGGCTTTTTGCTAAAGGGGCAGAGAATCCTGCAGGGGACGTCCCACTGGGCAACGATTTCACCGTCCTGGGTTTAAAGCCTATATTAGTCAAAAACCACATGTCCTGCAGCAGCACTGGAACACTGTGTATTGCCATGTTGATATGAGATCATCTGGCCTCGGTACGCATGCTGAAGGCTCCGTCTGTCTGTCAAGCGATGACGTACACCGTTCAGCCGCATTATGCCTGGTGACAAATGGCTGTTGTTGCTTCTACATTTAGCATTCTTTAACAGTTCAGGGGAGTGATTTGTTGTACATTTTGCCGATTTATTATTCATGCTGGACCATTTGGCTGAATGAAGCCATCTGTGCTGCAGAGTGAGGAGGAGGACAAAGAAGTCTTGGTAGATGGATCAACAACCGTATCTCCTGTTGTGATCTTTATGAAACATTTCAAACTCGTCTCCAAGTCTATATTAAGTTCTTTGCGGCCTGTTACTCCGTGGAGAAAACCTCAGAACAACAATGTGCTTTATTTAAGTGTAGCTTCTCATATATTCTCTATTGTCGGCCTATTTTTAGGGGAGGAATGCACAAATGATGGTAATCTTCTAGGCGGAGCCATGTTAGATTATCCTTTGAAACTGTATATACTCTTGGTGAGGAGTTCTTGCAGCCTCTGTGATCTTTCTGCTGTTGTTCCCACGTTTACAGCAGCAACTACATTCTGGTGTCAGCAGTGATTCATACTGGTGGAGTCCAAATGAGAGCAGTCATGGTCTCCTCATTCGAGAACTTTCCATCTAAAACTTTCAGCAGCGGCTGTTTTTTTCTCTTCCCCCCCTCCTCGTGCAGTATTGCCTTTCTTTCCTCACATTCCCACTCTTTCTCTCCCAGCCTCACACACATACTGTACTGCTCTCTCTCTCTCTCTCTTACCCCTTCTCCTTTTTCCTTTTCCCGCTTACGCTCTCCCCTTGTTACTCTTTCTCCTGCACTGGGAGGAAGTGACTAGGTTGTTTCTGGATCCTAAGGGAATAGAAAGATGGAGCTCCCTTTTCCTGTAACCCTTCCTTCATCAGATTTCAGCCCATTGCTCCATGGTCTCTGTTTAGCCACATCAATTAGCTTGGTATGACAAGAGTGCATAATGACAAAGCAGTGATCATCTGAGAGCCTTTCCAGATCAACTGACATTGGAAAGAGCTCTCTTAAAAATGTTGCTACCTATCAGTGGCATAAAAACTTCAGATTCATCATCAAGGATACAGACATAGTAAAACATCTTTGCTCTCATGTAATCGGTGCCCTTACCTGAATAAATCAACTACAAAGCTACAGCTGTGTTTGCTGATCCGTGGGAGTCTTGGGCCTCGGACAGTGTTTGGAGATCTTTGTGTTTTCATCTGTGCTGTGTGGGAGTCGACGGGAGTTCAAGTTGTCTGCTGTAACGTTTGGTATTTGTCCAACACATAGTTCACTGTCTTTAATCCTATCCTTTGGTAGATGCTTTTGGCATTGGTATAAGTGTCTTTATGTAGGGACACGCATCTGGCAGCACAGATAGCCCATCACCGATCTTCTTCTAGATCTAGATATCAATCGTCAGAGTATTTCCGGCTTCTGTCAGTGTGTGGGTCTATAACAGCACATCATCAACTGTTTGTTTGTTTTGAGGCAAATTTACTCACCACACTCATACACACACCCGTCCTCTCTCTCTCTCTCTCTCTCTCTCTCTCTCTCTGAGATGCCCCTCCTTGCTTTCTATTAGAACCAGCTGTGGGACTAGAGGCTGGATGAATGGCTCTTTGTGATTTGGCTGTCGCTCCAGTCTAAAAGGTCTATTTCTCCTCCTACTCCTCCACCTTCTGTGGTATTGGCATGACAACAATATAAAACAATGGACTGAACAACAGCAAGTCTTGTTATGATTTGATGCAAAGGTCATCCATCTAGGCTGCAGGACCCCCCCCCCCCCCCCGACAAAATGTCGACCACACTTGCACAGAAGGCTCTGAGCAGCCGGAGCAGAATGTATGAGAATCAGCAGACAGTCACGCAGCTTATCTGGTGGACACGCACACAGAAGTTAGAGAGCACGCTTCAAGTCGGTTTTGTCCATGAAGGAACACACTATAAGGCTCATGAGGTCATTCTTGCTTTAAGGTGTGCAGATGACAAATATTCCCACATAAACTGGAGGGCGTGTGTGCCCTGGATCTCAAGGGTGTGAGTCAAAGAGGCAGCAAAACAGAAAACATTGCCCAATCACATGGCAGGGAGGCTCCCAGTCTTGGATTGATTAGAGAGCCCCGAATTGGAGAGAGGAATGGGGTGGGGGAGAGTGTTTCTGGAAAGCTGGGAGAGGAGGAGAGCAGCTATGCAAGGATCCGGCTTGATCCAGGCTGCACGACAAGCAGGTCAGAGAGTGATTGGCATTTGACGGGGTTGTATTGTTCACATCCGGCGTGTCACTCAAAACCACTGGAATGTTTTGGAGTGTTTTTCTGGCTACGCAACCTGTGTTTAACGCCTTTCGGAGCCCACTCTTTTGTAACCTGTCTGGTGTTATCTATGTGTCAACAGACATTTAATGGGATGTTACCCTCCTCTGATGATTTCTTGTCTAGATATGTCCTTTTATTTTCATTTGACTTGGGATATAGACGGCTACAATCCAAATCCAGGAATTCCAAAGCTCAAGTTTCCTTTTATTCTTTTCCCCTACAGGTGCTGACTGTAAGAGTGCAAGAAAAGGAAGGGAGAGCAAGGATCCTGGGGAGGAGAGATCCCGTCCTTGCAGCGCACGCAGCTGGTATGAAGCGGAAAATAAATCCCTCTTTTCCTAATTCACAAACCATTCCCAAGCTTGAGCAGAATAATAATCACTGAAGGCTGAGAGAGTCACTAAAGCAGTGGAAAATCCATAACAAATCTCTGGGTAGTGGGAAGAGTGGTATTTCTCACATAGCAAAACTGGGGTGTAATCCGTTGTAATGGCAATAATGATAAGGTGACTCATTGAATGGAAGCAATGAGTTTGAAAAAGCTGACCTCGAAATGATGCCTGGCATCTGAAATTACTTTTCAGGGTGGTCTCAATCCTCTGATACACAAAAGGCACAAGCATCTATATACATGCTGTAAATCAAATCCAGTTTTAATCCCCCCAGTTATGAAGTGCATGCAGAGTGTGGTTGTAAAGTTCAAAACCTGAAGCTACATTCTACAAAAACAAACATTTTGAGATTGTTGCTGTGAGATGTTAAACACGTGACAGTATAATGCAGTTATTCTCGTGACAGAGCATACCACAGATGTGTAATTTGTGATGGGTGACCTGCATCCTACCCCCCGAGGGTCTTCCTAATCTTAATAGCAGGGAACGGAGGGAGTAGACCAGCCGATGCTAACTTCCGTTAGTATGGTATGCAGCTGTATGGGGAGGTGGGGGGGGTGGTGTAATGGGGGCAAGGCATTTGTCCTGGATGAAGCTGGTCAGGGAGAGTTGTCTGAAGAATGGTAGTGTGGCGCTGGGGAAGGGCGCACGCTGCTTTCTGCTCAGATGTCATCTCAAAGGAACTCTGTTTGAGAGGGAGAGAGAGAGGGAGGAAGGTCCCCAGCCGCACACACATACATACACACATAGTAACACATCTGAAACACCCAATGAGCCACTGTTGGAGAAGCAGATGTGGGCGACTTGAGTGGGTGATGTGGGATGAATGAGTCCCGGAGAAGTTCTAAGTAAAGAGAGATTTTGAAGCAGAGAAGAATGTGAGTTCCCTTTGACGTAGATGTGATTTGAAACGGCAGAGAACTAAGTTCAAAGGGGGATGCAGTGGACAGTGTCAGCCGTCTCGCCCGCAGGGCTGGGATGTTTGGTTGCTAAACTGCAGATTCTAATTATATCTCATCAACTGTCCTCTGTCAGCGCCGTCCTCCACCCTCCTGTACACACTCAGTTTCTCACACACACACATCGACAGGCCCGCTGACTCCCAACCACTCCCCAATATCTCGGTCCTGTTCTCACTTTCTCACACACGTAGGCATACCCAGACCGCCCTGTACATCATGCAGCACATAATCAATCTAACACTGTCATTCCCATACTGGAAATAAACTCACACTGCCTCGCCTCAGATGCCATTCATTCTTTTTTTTCTTCACATAATTCCTCTACGAAGCTAATGTATGTACTTTTTCATCTGTCAATGCTAAAAAGGGGTCTGTGTGTGCATGCATGCAGTGTTTCCATGCCTCATAATGTGTGGCAATCTTGGTATGAGGGGCTGATGAAGGGACACAGATAAGGGGATAGCACCAGGACATTAAACTGACTACAGGACTTCAGAAATACCAAGTCAATTTAGTCACTGTTTCCATGCGGCCTACTTTTCACAAACCAGCAAGCACTGACTAGGGTCACAAGAGAGAGAGAGAGAGAGAGCGTGCGACTCAGAGGAGAGAGACTCAGTTCTTGCTGAGGAATCATAAACCATGCTTAAAGTGAAATGAACTGAGTATGCCTTTAAACAAAACAAAGTGGAAGTTTGCAGTCCAAACCTCTGATCTCAGCTCTTAAAGTCTAAAGTAATATAACGATGTCAAACCGGCAAAAAGCTGTGGATGGCTTAAACATTAGGCGATATCCTCAGTTCCCACAAAGTGGTGACCTAGAAAGTTAATCTTTTCCAAGCAGACACAAACTCGGAGTCAAAGCGGTGTAGGCTCTCTGCTCACGCTCTGTTTGTTCTCTGTGGGAGGACAAAGCACTATCTTTTGATTATAGAGAGTCAAAATGCATTACTTCTGGTGTGGAAAATGTTTTGAAGCAATTCACTACGCTTTCTGTGTGAAAGCACTGAGCGAGGCAATGAGACAGCGACCAGCTAAAACCTCCTGACCGTCAGCTGATGTAAGAGAGGGGGAAAGCACCAGGAAAAAAAATAAAAGAAGAAGCAGGAGGAGATATACGTGGAGAAAGTGAGGGAGAGAAAGAAGAGAGAGTGTCTGTAAACCCTAAATTGAGAGGCGAAGTTAGCGTGCGCAGATGATTCCTAATAAGGTTGTAACTGGCAGCCTCAAACCTCTGTCCTGACGCTAGCTGCCAGGAAACTTTCGTCTGTAAGTCCTCTTCTCTGAGCGCTAAGAACAGAAACAAACACACAAGCGACTGTGACCCACTATGCTCCCAAAAATGAACAGATACAATTAGACAGGGAAGCAGGAGGGTGAGTGGTTGTAGGACACGTACAATTCTTTCTGACCATCACACAGAAAAAAAACCAATGTGTTCTAGAAGAGCAACCTTTTATTGTAAGATTTTAAACCATGTGTAGTGTAGATAGAGTACATACTGTACATTTACATGGTTTCAGGGTCTAGTATTGTGCATGATGGCTCACTCTCACTGGGACACTTTGTTAGAACAGAGCATTATCAGTTACACCTGTACGCTTACAGTGTGGTTGTGCAATGTTTTTTGCTTCCTAACTGAGTGAAACGACCTGAGAGTTTTTGTCCTATTTTCTAAATGCTAAGGAGCGGTGATTAAATTCTTCCTTCAATTTATTTTGATTAATTTAGTTATCTCTGGCATAAGGCACACTGGACCATTGGACAATCGTTGTACTATATTGCATTGAGTTTGTCATTGTGCTCATTTTCTATATTTCATACATTTAATTTTGCTTCCAAAAAGCCCAGTGTACTTGCAGTCGAATTCTAATACAAGTGCTAATTTATTCTCCTTCATATCATGCCTTATTCTTGCTTTCAAAACTTTACATTTTCGTATTTTGTGTAATAATGTACAATGTTTCTGTCTCTCCACAGGTGAGAGTTGGTGGATGTTTGAATAACAGCCACAGGCTCACGATGGCTCAGGTGCTGCATATGGAGCCCGGCTTCCCAGGTGCACATTCTATTTGTTGACACATGATATACATGATAATGAAGTTACGATATAAGTTTATCTTTGTTAAGATTTATACTATTAAACACCTAAGTAATGTAATAGTTGTATCATCCAGACACTTACTGTATAAGGTCAGGTTATAGTCGCTGTGCCACTTCCCCCTGTACCTAATTTGCTGATTGTTTCAGAGTACATGTACAAATACACAGAAGCCCCAAAGTTAATGCTATTTTCTAAAGTCTGAGCCCAAGATTAGACGCAGATATCCGTTTGTTTAAAGTTGATTTCCTTCCCCCTCAGGGAAGCTCAACCCGCCTGCAACTCCTTCCCTGCACGGCAAAGAGCAGGAGGCCTACTCAGTGGAGACCCCCTATGGCTACCGTCTGGACCTAGACTTCCTCAAATATGTTAACGACATAGAGAAGGGAAACACTATCAAGAAGGTACCCGTCCACCGCCGTCCACGCTATGGCTCCCTGCCCCGTGGCTATGGCTACACCGGCTCCTGGTGGACCTCCACAGAGTCTCTGTGCTCCAACACCAGCACGGACAGCAAACACTCCTCCTTCTCCTACTGCGCCCCGGGATACCACACATCCCAGAGGCCCAACTTCAGCACCGCCCGGGTGGAGAAGACCCTTATGGATGCACGCAGGAAGCTGGAGGAGGAGAAAGAGGGGCGGAGATTCTCCAACCTGGGAAGCATGCACAGCAGCGTAGCGGGCTCCAACACCTCCATCAGCAGTGCACACAGCTACAACAGAGCCCATGGTGGAGGGGGATCCTTCACCCCGATGAGTTCTGGCCTGTCCACCCCAGTGACCCCCACACCAGCGCACCTGCAGCACGTCAGGGAGCAGATGGCTGCGGCTCTCAGGAAGATCAAGGAGCTGGAGGAGCAGGTGAAGACCATCCCAGTGCTGCAGGTCAAAATCTCCGTGCTGCAGGAGGAGAAACGGCAGCTCAGCGTCCAGCTGAAGAGCCAGAAGTACCTGGGTCACACTCTGAGTTTCAGCCGAGGCCGCCCCAGAGGAGAGCTCTACATAGACATCCCTGAAGAAGATGTGAGCGTGGGGGCTAAGAGCAGCGACCAGCCAGCAGGGCCACTGTCCCCCACCTCACCCGAGGGCTCCAAGCTTCAAGACTCAGGATGTGAGATTGAGGACACAGTGATTGTGAGTGGAGCTCGACCGGATGCAAAGCGGGAAGTGCGCACCATCGCAGTGGGACCAGAGGAGTTGAGGGGCAGCAGTGAGTTGGGAGTCGGGGTTCGGGAGGAGGATCTGGGGCTGCTGCCAGAGACCCAGGCTCTTAGGAATAAAGTGGGTCAGCTGGAGGGCCAGTTAAAGAGGACGGTGCAGGAGCTGCAGGAGGCGCGGCAGCAGGCCGCAGCAGTCCAGAGGGGCCCTCAGGCAGAGCACCCAGTTATGGCTACCAGCGTGGGCTGGCAGGAGCCTCAGGGCTGCAGCCTGCACACCCTGGTCAGCTTCACCCAGCCCCCCCAACAGAGGGAACAGAGGACTGTGGGAATCCAGGTGTACACACTGGAGCAGCCCACTGTGGTGGAGGTGGGCACGCTGATGCGAGCGGAGATCTGCAGCTCCCCCTCCCCTCAAGCAGCTGCTGGAGCCGTGGAGGGCCAACACAGAGGACAAGCTGAAGGTCTCTAAAACTTAAGATCATAAGCATAATGTATCTAGGAATGTCCAATTTGGGTTTCTCCAGCTGATAACCAATGATTTGCTGCATCTCATGGCTGATACTTAGAAGAAAACCACTAATAATAAAACATTTTAAAAATAAGTTTGTGTTCTGTAGGTTATGCACACCCGACGGTAACTTTTTGAGTGTGTAGATGCTGCACTTGTTGAGTCAATAGAATACTTTTTTTTTATTAACAGCTATAATTTTATTGTTGAAAAAATAATAGAATATATACATTTTGCATTTCCAGCTAATAATTAATTGGCACTGCTTTATATTGTGCATCCCTAGATTAAACACATTGCCATTGGATTGCATTGTACTACTGTAACCAATAAGCAGACAAGGGTGTAAGAACTTGTGTTGACCTGAAAATGGTTTGATCAACTACTTACATTTATCTTGTTGTATTCCTCCACAAAGTGTTTTATTAGTTATGCTGTAACGTTGATCTCTTCTCTCTCTCTCACAGAGGCTCCAGTTGAGTTGCCGATTGCCGTCAGCTCCAAGCAGGTGCGCGATGTCCTGAAGAGCGAGCTCTCCACCTCGGTACCTGTAGCGAGTCCTGCCATCGCTGTCAGCACGGCCGGGGATCAGATTGGTTTGATGCATTCAAAAGAAGAAGAGACACACCAGCATACATCCACAGAGGCTGCCGAGTCCCACGAGGACCCTCAGACAGGTAACTGGGCTGAACTCTCGACCATCATTCCTACTTTGTTCTTCCCTCGTCATGCCCCCACGGTTTGTATGATCACTGGGTTTTTCTTTCAGCCTCATCTCCCCAGTCTTCTCTGAGGTCTATTATGAAGCGCAAAGCAGAAGGTGAACCGGGATCTCCCACCACGAAGAAGAACCTGCAGTTCATTGGAGTCAATGGAGGGTACGTGTTTGCAGACCATAAAACTGTCCTTTTCATGCATGGCACAACAGTATTTTTATTCATATAAAACAGATTATAAGCTCTAATAAATATGATGGTTAACAAATTATTTGGTTTGCGTAAGTATTTTATATCTTGACCCATTCATGTACTGTATTCCTATGTCTTATTGTGTATATTGTTGTTGGCTGTAACTTCTATGCTGCTGTCTTTGCCAAGATCAACCCGTGTAAATAAGTTAATTGACCTCAACATAAATGTCTTGTAGCTACGAGTCCACGTCCTCAGACGATAGCAGCAGCGAGAGCTCAGATGAGGCGAGTGACTCCAGCGAATATCATGAAGCACGAGAAAAACTCACAGAGTCAGCGGCCCAGCACCAGCTAATAACCAACAGCCAGGCTTCCCCGCCTTCAGAAAGCAACAGAGTACCTCATCAGACTGCCGTCGTACTGCCAGCCATCATTCCAGACTCACAGCAGAGTCTCAAAGATTCAGCAACAGCCGACATAAAACTGCCGGTCAAACCCCCCCGGTCACCAGCGATAAACACTACTCTAACGCCTCCATGTCCACAGAATGATGCTGCCTCTAAAGACACTGTCAACCAATCATCAGACACACTCACCGTCACGCAGGAGATCTCCTCCACATCATCAAGCACTGAATCCACTCCCGAACAAAGCTCCTCAGTTACCTCTTCTTCATCGCTGTGTGTCACTGAAACCACTGAGATCACCCAACAGCAATACACCGTCCAATCAGAAACAACCGTCCTCTCCAGCCAATCGGAGCCAACGCCAGCAGCGGAAAGCCACGTAAAAGACACTGCCACAGTACCTGCCAAGCAAGTCAGGTGAATATATACGCATAAACAGACATACTGATAAGTGGTGATGGTACTATCGAGGCTGTGTTCGATCTTTCAATGGCTGATGTTGTCTGTCTCTGTCTCAGATTGGATCTGAGTGACAGCCTGATGTCAGCTCTTCATGCCCTGCAGAAAGCCCTGGGGGAGCCCAATGCCTTCAGCCAACAAGGAGCAGTAGGTGTCCATTTAATCCACTAAATCAGTGTTTTAATTCCCTGGATAACACACTCAGTATCGATACTGCTTTCCAGGAGTTCCTTCTAAAAGCTATCACACTGGCAACAACATGCAGAGACACAATCAAGCAGTCCTTGAAAATATATTTTATTAAATCCACAGTCAGACAATTTGTAGAAAATGTGTTTTACTATTGATTTGGTAAACTAGAGGTTATGTGTACTTTTAATTTACATTACATTACATGTCATGTGTTAGACGCTTTTATCCAAAGCGACTTACACACATTCAGTACTGTGGACAATCCCCACAGGAGCAATTTGGGGTGAAGTGTCTTGCCCAGGGACACAACGACCTGTTGACTGCAGTGGGACTCGAACTTGCTATCCCCTGATTCGAAGTCCAGCACACTACCTACTGAGCCACAGCCTCCCTCCCTAGATCTCTAAATGTTTGATATAGTCAAGAAATAAGTTGTAGTTCTTGTAGTACAAAAAAACATGAGAAAAGAAAAGTGTTTGCTTTGCTAAGCTCTCGACCCAGTTATTTTTGTATTTCTTTAACAAACCTCTGTTTTTTATTTTGATATGCTGATTATGGCAAACCTGCATGCCTGTGCTCTTGCATTTCCCCAGCAGTCTTTCAAGTGTGTTTGCGTATCTAATTGTCCTCATTGTGTCTGTCTCAGAGGGCGGCCTACACCAGCGTGCTGCAGGAGTGGCTGCGCGTGTCCTGTCACAAAGCGGCGGACACAGCTGTTGTCAAAGCCTATATGAACACCTTCGCTTCAGTCTCCCCTCAGCTGCTGGAGTTTGTAATCAACATGGCAGATGGTAACGGGAATACAGCGCTTCACTACACCGTCTCCCACTCCAACTTCCCCGTGGTGAAGCTGCTGCTGGAAACTGGTGCGTGTCTCTGTCTGTATATCTGTATGTGTGTGAGAGAAAAGTCAGACAAGCTTACATAAGGGTGTGTATGTGGGTGGTATGGGCTCTAAAGTTAAGGATATGAACTCAGTCTCCAACATGTTCCGTCTCCCTGTCATTGTTTGTGCTGCTGTTGTGTCACCTGTCTCACTGATTGGCCTCTATACCTGACAGGCCTGTGTAATGCTGACAAGCAGAACAAGGCGGGCTACACGGCCATCATGCTGACAGCCCTGGCCGCCTTCCACTCTGACAATGACCTTCAAACCGTCCTGCAGCTCCTGCGCACGGGGGACGTCAACGCCAAGGCCAGCCAGGTGCGCCCTCTACTGCTCATAATGTCTCACTGCACGTCCACACAACTAAATCCATTGAAAGAGCATTTATATGTTTGCTTTTGAGTTCTCTTGACACATTAGAAAGCTGAGTTTTAGCGTCCTGCAGCATGCAAACAAATGCAACCTGACAACAATTTAGCTCTGAAATAAGATGCACACTGTGAAAATGAGTCTCATGATGTGTGTTTGCAGGCCGGTCAGACGGCGCTGATGCTGGCGGTCAGCCACGGTCGCGGGGACATGGTGAGGGCGCTGCTGTCCTGCGGCGCTCAGGTCAACATCCGTGATGACGACGGCTCCACAGCGCTCATGTGTGCCTGCGAACACGGTCACGTTGACATTGTGCGTCAGCTACTGTCTATTCAAGGCTGTGATGCCACTCTCACTGACAATGTAAGCATATTTTCTTTTCCGTCTTCCTTTCTCTGTCTATTTCCTTTTTGTATTATTGCAATCCAGTCCAAAAACTCCACATCCTTTCTGTTTTTACAGGACGGCAGCACTGCTCTGTCCATCGCCCTGGAGGCCAGTCAGAATGACATTGCTGTGCTCCTGTATGCTCACCTCAACTTTGCAAAGCCACCTTCCCCTGTGAGTACTTTGACACACTGCTAACACACACTTACTGTTGTCTCAATAAGGCACAGTGTAATGAGGGTAATAAGTAACTGAGATAGAGGAAGAAGAAACTGATTAAATGTTCAAAAAAATAAAATATCAGCACAGAAAAAACTCCTTGAAAAGACAAACCATCACAAATCGGATGTTGAGCTGTACAGTACATACCGTTCAAGCATAATCTGAATCCTTGAAGTTTCACACACTGGCTGTAGTGTTTCCTGCAGCCTTACCACAGCTGTGTGTGTAACTGTACAGAACTAGTTGAAATTGCATCTGATCAACTATGAAATCTGAATCATGTTCTTGTTGTTTAATCCTAAACTAGACTGCATGGGAAAACCATAGGTATGAGTTGTGAAGTTTTGCGTGACATCTGGGAAAATCAAGTCTGTTGCATTACTTGGGTTGCATATAACAAAATGACGGAAATGTATGCTGTCACTTTTTTCTCTAGTGAAATGTTAATGCTAAAAATGCAAGATATATAGTTTCAGTTTAATTTTGTTTTTCCTGAAGGATGTTGTTTTTAATTAGTGCATTTTTCACTCCTTTTTTGTTCTACTTTGCAATAATTACCCTGGAATATGGGATTATTTTTTCACCAATAATACCTTGTTTTTTTTACTTTAGGTTTCACCAAGGTGTCCTCTCTTGGGTTCCTCTCCTCCTGCCGGAGAAGCAAAATAAACCCTGCTCCAGCCAGTCCACAGTAACTACTCATATTACAGCGTGATTTATTTTCCTCATCTGTGTTATTCAGAGAAACAATGAGTTTGTGTTTGTTTTCACCCTCCATAATTTAAATACTTTATAATGTGCAGATAATTACATGACAGCTTGCACCATTGTTATCCATTTCTCTTTGTACACTGAGGTCTTTCGGGCTTTAAAACAAGTACAATCTAAAAACGGAACATCTAGCACAGGGCTATTCAATTGGCGGCCCGTGGGCCAAATCCGGCCCCGGGGTGATATTTACTTGCCCTTTGAGTATAATGTTAAAAAGAAATCTATTCTATAGATCTTTTTTTTTTAAAGATTTGTTTGAGTGCCTTTATTCCAGAGAGGGTGTTAAATTGAGAGATAAAGGGGCAGACATTGCCTGAAAACTTCGGCGGGCTCGGGTTTCGAACCCACCTACTAGCTACTGTAGTGACAACTCCTGTCATTGATTGCATCTCTGCGTGAATGATTAGATAATTTCACCTAAATTAAATCAAATTAAATGATGTTGATGGTTAAATTAGCTTCACATGTAGGCCTACTGAGTTCTGAACTTGCCATTTAGATCTATAAAGACCTTGGGGCTATGTTGTTTGATTTAATTAAACACAATATAAGCACTCCACTATTTCCTGTATCTGAAGCTCTTAATATGATTGCTCATATTTCAAGCCATCTTTTTCCCAGCCCCTTGCTTTGGATCATTTTCATCAACCGGCCCCCATTCCAAACTAATTGAATAGCCCTGATCTAGCAGCTTCATGGACACTGTCAGCACTGTTTTTAGTCAAAGTCAAAGATGTTCACTAAATTGCATCATATATAATTATACACTTGTTGTTTTAATTCATATCTCATATTAGTTGCTTTTATAGAGTGATGTGTTTTCATTGTTATGTGTACAATAGCTCTTACACAGTAGCATCATTATGTGTGTGACCATCGATCATTTGGAATAACAGAAGCCACTCCTCTCACGGATAAGTGTCCTTGCTTAAAGTAGCTCGTTGATGCTACAACAATCTATTACAGTGAACACCACTTCAACAGTTGACCAATATTTATACACAGGATTTATTCACTCCAGAGTATTTTTGATATTGATTTTTTTTTTTAAATGTTGACTTAATTCAGGACCTTCAAGGATCACCATTTTTTATTTCCACAGCAATGGTTTACTTAAAACACCTTTTCAAACAAGACATAAAACAACAGTTAATGTGTCGACCACCCAGATTAAACCCAAAGATGTCTCTCTCTGTGTTGCTGTATGTTGTGGTGATAAAATGAACACAGTGTGAAGGAAGGAAGAGGTAAATATTATTCTCTAAAGGCTACGGTACTTTGGTCTTTGTGTTTTAAAGTGACGGTATTTTGGATGTTAGTAAGGAAGGGTTAGAGTGTATCTGTGTGATATTCTGTGCTCATAAGAGTAAACACAATTATATTGAGAAAGGACTGAAAGCACTGGTGTAGTCACCTCCGCTCTGCATGGTTAGATTTTTCAGGGAACCAGAAAGTGACTGATTGGGGTCTTTAAAGGAAGTGCCGTGTAAGATGTGAATATCAAAATAATATATGTTGATATAGAGTGGTAGTTATTATGCCTAAAATCAAATTCCTTGAGTTAGAGTACATAGGCTATTGATGTCAAATTTCTATTACTTTTTAAAGACTTTTTTCACAATTTTCATATTCACTTTCAAGCAATTGAACTTTTATAAACTTCAATTTTTTTTATTTAAGTATCTATCTTTTTTATACTTTTAGAATTTTTAAGCTCACACCTATTTTATGTAATCGCACAGCTCTTTAGTTTATGTTTTTATGAAGGTTTATGTCAAATGTTAGACTGTTACTCCACTTCTAATTTGTGCTTTTTGGAAAAACAATGAATTAATAAATGTGGACCACACTGTTTCTGTTGCATTTATTCAGTCTAACTTGTTTGCATGTAAGTTGCCATTAGTTATTTTAAACAAGGTAAAAAATGTTTGTGCTCAAGAGAGTAAGTTTTATTAAAGTCACATAGGTCAAAGTTCTTTTTCTTGCATATCTTTGATTTATATTTTGTTTTCATACTTAAAGGGGACCTATCATGCAAAAGGCACTTTTTTATGTCTTTTATACATAAATATGTGTCCCCGTTGTGTCAGGGAACTCACGCAGTGTCAGAAAATAAAACCCTCTCTCTTTTCCTCCGTACCCAAATCTCTAAAAACGGGGGTACAACGGAGCTGATCCAGATTTGCGTCCGATATGACGTAATATCGGAAATATGGACCCACGGCACTATCAGAAAGTTGCTATCAGAAACAATGCCCGACTGTTTTGGACGTAATATGGTCGGTGTTTACATTAGCATCGCTAACACTCAGAGCTAACCTGTACTGCACAGAGCATGTGTGTGAAGAAGCAGGAAATAAAAGGAACTCACCTTGTGGTATAACCGGCAAGAGAGAAAGCCTTTGAGCTCCATACTATTTCAGAAATAATCCTTTTCAGAAATAATCCTTGAAAATCCATGATATGGCGTTTCATCAAGGCAGAATCTGCCGGTAGAATCTCCCTCATGAGCAGGCATAAGCTCCGCCCCCCTTTTTTATAAATTCTTTTTTTTTTAAAGCTTTATACATAAAATCAGCACTTTTGAAACAGGAAGTGAAATAGAGGGGTATGAGGCATGGCTAGAATGGGTGATCTGTTAGGTATTTTGAGCAAAACACTTCATAGACATGTTTTTTATATATTTGTATATATCTGATACCTATGCTATTGCCAAGAAATAGCATGATAGGTGACCTTTAAGTAAAAGGTATAACTAGTGGTGCATGCTACGAAACGTCCACTAGAGGACGCTCCAGCATTGAATCAGTTCTTCCCTCGGTGTACATCAAGTCCCCATGTGCAGTACGTTACTGTTTACTCATTCAAATAACTACCAGAAATTATTGAAAGGTCCAAAACTGTTCTAACTGTACAGTGATCTGTTTATTTTATATGTACACTTTAAATGAGTTTCATCCATTTCAATCAACAGCATCATAAATGTGAGATGAATTCCCCTCTGATGTCGCCAACACAAAATTACAAAACTTTTGGTAACCTGTAGATTTTTGGTTTCAAGTATAATTGTCCTGACCCTGAAATCCTGTAATTTTCCCAAAGTGGCCCCCGGGCAAAGCAAGTTCAGTATCCCTGTTTAAGATTTCTCTGTGGAAGGCAACAGAGGATCATGAAATGGATCTTGGCAAGGCCTCATCTATTTAACATGTGTCAAAAGAGTCAACATGTTGATGCCTTCAGTTTTGAAATGGTAAAACTTCAACAACACTCGTAATAAACATTATTTTTACACCTACAAGTTTTGGCTTGTGGTCTTTATTAAGGTCATCGACAACAAGCCAAAAGGCGCTGTTCTTCCACAGACTTCTTCCTTTCTCCATGCACCTTGGAAGTAGGTTAGGTTTGGCTGGAAATCCCCACCCTGATTGTACAATCCTAACCAGATGTGACCAGATGTCACAAGATGACCCTGGAGTCTGGGTCAACCTCTTCCGGGTGACTCCTGCAAGAAATGTAAGTACAGTGTGTTCAGGTGTATGTGCACACATGGGTGTCTTCCAGGGTTTGAGGCTTTAGCACAGGGAGAGCAACCTGATTCTGTTAGGCCAGCGGTTCCCAACCTTTTTCAACTCAGGGCCCACTTAAGAATCTAAAAAAAATGTGCGGCCCACATTCAACCATAAACAATACGGAGGCTAAATAAAGTTCTCAGAGTACTTTTTATTTTAATTAGAAAGGGAGCTGGCCATCAATAACAAACAGACATTTTTATGTCACGGTTTAGTTGAATACTCGATTCTAATTGGTCAATTTAGAACATGTGACACGTTGTTAATCCAGTAGAACAAACCGCTGTCAAGGACTGTAATGACCGTTGCGAAGGAGGATCAAGAAAGAAAAAGGAAAAGAGGTTAAAATTAAGAAGAATCTTAATTCTGAAATGTTTCCACACAAATCATAATGTTTTGAAAATTATTTGGCGGCCCACTTGCAATGCCTTCGCGGACCACAATGGGGCCACGGCCCACAGGTTGGGAACCGCTGTGTTAGGCGATGTCGAACCAACTCGAAACCATCACTTCTGTTGTGGCTGTTGTGTGTTGACAAAGTGGAAGAGGACGAAGCAGTGTAGTCTGACCCATATTGTGGAGTGGTGTTTGTTAGTGTTTGTGTTATGTAATATGGCTCTACTGTACAATCATCTGTGTTCCCAGAGTTTATGAAGTGAATTTTCTTCTCCCGTTATTTGTACAAAATATAATTTTGTACAAGATAGATAGATAGAAACTTAATTGATCCCAAATTGGGATATTCTTGTGATACAGGAGCAGCAGTGTGTTAAGGCATTTAAATGGGGAAAAAAATGGAATAAAGTATAGACAAAATACTATTTTTAATAAAAATAAAATATATATATATATAAATATATCTGCAGTACAAAGACATATAACACAAAAAATACACAATATAAAATATTCCGGATAAATTCAAATGATCAATAAAAAAGACCAAGAAATGATTAGGCAATATACAGCCATGTTCGTTCCTTTAACCCTTAAGCATCATAGGAACATTTTAATTCATTTTTCAATAATTTTTGCTGTGTTTATGCATTCAGTTTTTTATTTTTGTTACAACCTGATAGAACTGCCATTACAGCAAAACCTTTCAATTATTTTCAGCATAAGCATTTCAAACAGGGCATTATAACTGACATTTAAAGGGTTTACATTTGGGAAATTAATTGATACTTGGGGGTGATGATCAGGACAAAGTTTGTTAAAAGATTAAACTTAGTGAAATTAATGTAAATGTTTCATTTAAGGCAGTTTTTGTGACACAGACACCATGTTTCTCTATGAAAATTGTAGCAGCTTTTTAAAAGGATACGGAAGAGTTAAAAGGATGAAACTGTTGTATGCTGGTCACAAATTCAAAACATAAAGAAAAGTCATGCACCAGCTGTTTGCCTCAGACAGCTGCTTGTCTCTGGGAGGAGTCGATGAGATAACATACCAATGTAAGCAATGCATTCAGCCTGTACCATAACAGCTCTGTCATGAATTGAATTTAAGGTAATATAAAATGTCAGTTGACAAGCAGCCAATCAGAAATGTGATGGCTATTTTTAATTCCACTAAGGCAAAAAGGTCCACTCGCTAAGTTTTGACAATATAGAGATCACTTCTCTTACATTAGCGTTATGATCATAACCAGTATGAATGAATAAAGCCAAACAAAATCTTGAAGTCAGCTCAAAAACAATGAACCTGCTCATTTATTTATACTATTTATATATATTTGATAAATGAGGACCAATTTCCGGTTATGTAAGGAAGCAGTGTGTTACTTGTGTGACTGCACAAGAAATCAGCTGAACTACACTGGAAACACGTCTTATCTCTTCCTCCTTTAGAGGGGGTCCACCCTCACAGCCACAGTGCAGGGTGTCAGATAAGCCCTTTAAACACATCACGCATGGCAGGACACATGAAATGACTTTTCTCAATATGTTGGAAGGGGTTCAACTTACTTGATTGCAGAGCCTGTAAATTATAAATCTGTTTAAGAGAGGCCTGCATGTTTCTGAGTTACAATCAAAATGAGCTTCATTGGCGAAGTATGTGTGCACATAGTCCTTTAATCCTTTACATGTTTGGTTGCTATCAATCTACATAAACAGAAATGGACATACAGCTAAAACAAGTATGACAAAGCCGGAAAAGGTAAACATAAACATTACTGCAGAGTTCTTTGTGGTATTGCTATGAAAACCGCAATACATTAAACACAGTTTAAAAAATAAGCATGCAAATAATGTGTGCGTGCGTGTGCGTGTATATACACCAACAAAAAAGCTCAGCAATATTTGTTTTGGGATATGTTTATTCACACAAAAGCTGACCTTGGTGTGCACCAACGTACAAAAAAACATAATCACTTAATAAACGTTCGTTTTTATCATTGATTTTATTGTAATTCCACATAATTAATAATGTTGGGGTGAAGGCAAACATGGTGCTCCGGAGTAAATGCTCAAAGTGTCAATTTCAGGCTGCTGTCATCAATTATACTTATTCTTTGAACAACAAATATATACCTGACCTGAATATAGGTTGTTTTATAAAAGGTGATACATTCACATTTTGACTATTTTTATATAATTAAAACAATGAGATTTCGATTCTATCAGGCATAAGCTCCGCCCCCCTTTTTTATAAATTCTTTTTTTTTTAAAGCTTTATACATAAAATCAGCACTTTTGAAACAGGAAGTGAAATAGAGGGATATGAGGCATGGTTAGAATGGGTGTTCTGTTTGGTATTTTGAGCAAAACACTTCATAGACATGTTTTTTATATATTTTTATATATCCGAGACCTATGCTATTGCCTAAAAATAGCATGATAGGTGACCTTTAAGTAAAAGGTATAATTAGTGGTGCATGCTACGAAACGTCCACTAGAGGACGCTCCAGCATTGAATCAGTTCTTCCCTCAGTGTACAACATCAAGTCCCCATGTGCAGTACATTACTGTTTACTCATTCAAATAACTACCAGAAATTATTGAAAGGTCCAAAACCATCAAAACTGTACAGTGATCTGTTTATTTTATATGTACACTTTAAATGAGTTTCATCCATTTCAATCAACAGCATCATAAATGTGAGATGAATTTCCCTCTGATGTTGCCAACACAAAATTACAAAACTTTTGGTAACCTGTAGATTTTTGGTTTCAAGTATAATTGTCCTGACCCTGAAATCCTGTCATTTTCCCAAAGTGGCCCCCAGGCAAAGCAAGTTCAGTATCCCTGTTTAAGATTTCTCTGTGGAAGGCAACAGAGGATCA